CATATGGTATCCCGTTGATCTATATCGGCGCGGCGAGATCAAGAACTTACTTCAACTTTGGAATAACCTTAATGAAAAGAACTGGACGGGCTCCCGGCTCCGCAACGCCAGCAAGTAAGGCGAGACTGACCATAGACTTGTAACAATGGCAACCGATTCGCCTCTTCCAATATCTCGCAACAGAGTAATGTCCCGAGTCCGGTATGAAGGCTCGCCACAATAAAGCGATACATGTTTGTGCTGATGAATGAAAGGTCAAAATCTCGGCCTTCTAAATGGTAGGGACAGCTGGTTTTGCCGTCCCGTTGTGAGTATAAAGCTTATAGGATACATTATTCCTGTACGGAATGGCCCAGCGGCTATTTTCGTATATTAGCGGGCCTGAACACATTGTTTATTATTTTTTTCAGCTGGGAGATCGAATCTCAAAACGACCACTGTGGACTTATGATCCCGGGAATCAAATTCGGTGTTTCTTCTATGAAACACGCTACCAAACCGTTTTTTTTAACTTACCCCCACTGTTCTTGAGCATGACGTCCATCATGTTTTAGAGTAACGGGTAAGTGAGCTGTTGCCTCTTTTCACGACTTTACCGTACAAGAGCCAAACACAGCCGCCTGAACCTTTATGCCACCCGTTTCGGGTACTAACCTAGTACCACGTCCATTTTACGGATGGCGCCACTCCATGCAGCAAACGGAAATTGATATGCGAAAGTGTCGAACCTCATTTGCAGGTTTGACCATAAGAGCACGGTTCTCTACCTGAGAGCTTGTTCCATCCCTCTTAGCGAGTAGCTTTTTGTTCAGATAAACCATCCGACATCTAAGTCCCGTTGATCCATAACCTAGCAGCGGTGCAACGCGGGACCAAAAAATTACCTTAATCTTGCGATAACTTGTTTAGGAGCAGAACTAGACGAGCTCCACAATACGAGCAAGGATCTGATAGAAAGCAGGTACGGAAAATCAAAAAATCAGAACACTGTACTCCCGTAAACCAGCTGAGGTGGAATCGAACCACAGTCGTCCCCCAGAGGGATCGAACTCTCGCTGGGAATAATATTCCCATTGACCTACGGCGGCCTGATCATCGACTCGTAACAATGCTAACCAATGGGCTTACTCGGAATCCCTGCTACCGGCTTGAAGAGGAAGAACATGGCGGAAGGCAGGAATGGATATTCCACAGGACGGAGAACGAATGATGACCGTTCGCAGCTGGAGGGGACACAAGCGCCCTTTTTTTTCACTGAGAAACGGTGGATAGTATGACAGAAGCTTAGCCGGCATTCACTGGGATAGTAAATCTAGTATTACTGTGTTTCCCTAGGTATATAACAGCATAAAAACCCGGTCATCTTTCCCTTAGCGAGGCAAAGAGGAGAGAAGAACGCCATCATATTGATGGATGTCATCTTGTATTGCAGTCTTGCTGTTACCGAGATGGGCTCGGGCCAGTTTACACCTGCCTCTCGCGCACCTATTGAATATCTAGAGAAAGAGAGAAGGGGAAAGCAAGCTCCCGGGAAGAGAAGCGTGTTAGAAGATTCGGCACTTTCGCATAGTCATTTCGTCATGCTAAAGAAAAGGCGTAAGTAGAAAAAAAGGTTCCATGGCGCGTGTAAGAGGAGAACAACGAATTTAATTTCCGAGTCGTTACAAGTGCTCAGCGGTCGCTCGGGGACTCGATCGCCCAACTGGACAAAACAAATAGATGAGTTTGATAGGCACCGAAACAACCACTAAGCCATATCAGCGCATTAATGGTCGATCCGATAGATATTTATATTAACACCAGGATGGGAGTATCTAACGGTCCTTCCGTTAATTGTGGACGGACGTCCTTTCATCTGCACACACGCACACATCAAAGTTTCTGGTGAAATGAAAACACCTTGAAATACGATTTGTAGCGTAATGGAATGCTCAATATTATTGTAGTTTAACCAAGGTCTAGCGAGCGGAATCATTTGGAACGGAAAAATACTGAGTCTTTGCGGATACAAATCCATGAGCAACAGACGAAAGCGAATGAGCCTCTTCAGCTTACGTGGAGCCCGCTGGGGGAAAAATGGAATCATGTTTTTATCTGTGGAAGGTGTGGACGATGTGGGAAAAGATCATCCTACTGCGCGGAATCGAACCACGACATCTTCTCGTAGATTCACTTGCAGGAAATCACTTAACAATTAATCCACAACAGCCCCGAGGCAGATTATTCAGCAAAGTATAACACTGAACAATAAGCCATCTCGAACGCTCGACAGCGGCATCGGGACAGGAATACTCCTCGGGAGGGGTAGCCACGACGATTCTGTGACACTGGAAAGTTCAGAAGTACATGATATCCGCTCTGTACATGCATGCACAACGGGTAACCTTTTTTGGCGTGCCCATCAGTAATCAGCGCTCAGCGATAAAGATGGATATGTGCACTCACCTTTAATAACCCATACCACCGAAACTCCAAGCCTTCGCCTATTCCTGGCATTTGTCAATTCCACGATCGTTGAGAGCACCGTCCGCGAGATGTTCTGAGGCTGCCGCACTGTCTTAGAAGCGAAGACACGAGGCTGTCCAAATACGGCGACCTGTTTTGGGGATATGCGCCAGTCGTACTCGTCGTTTGTCATCCAGGTAGGGTTGATCATGGAGTCGAAGGAAAACAAATGCGAGCTAGCTCAGTATCCTCCTCCAAAGTGGACGATCGTAGCTCCGGAGAGTGGTGTTCATCGGACCTGTTGACACAATCATGACCCTAATCGGACAAGCAGAGGTGATGAAAATCCGAGAGCATGTAGAGCAGAAATGAGGAGGGGCCACGAGAGAAGTGGTGGTCGAAGGAAAGGGGGGGCGCCAATATCGGACCGGGTCAGCCACGTGGACAAGACACGTCCTCTTTCGTTTCTACCCTCATCCTCGTTTCCCGCGGCCTTCCCTGGATTCTTTTGTCTCACTACGCCGATACTATCTCCAAAACGTATGATAAACAGTGAGATCTTAGGACGCCCACGCCAGCAGTAAAATGCTGGTTAACGGGAATGATGGACCGACGTTGCGGACATTCAGGTAAGCTAAATGTCCTGTTTGATCTATAGCCGTGCATGCAATGCGAGATCAAAAAATTACCTTAATCTCGCGATAACGTTGAAGAGCAGAACTGGACGAGCTCCACAATACAACTAAGTAAGAATCTGATAGAAAGCAGGTAAGGAAAATCAAAAAAAGGATAGCAGCTCTTATTTTACATGGCACTCCAGCTGAGGCGGAATAGACCCACAGTCGTCCCCTAGAGGGATCGAACTCTCGCCGGAAATGATCTCTCGTTGACCTACGGTAGCCTGACCATTGACTTGTTACAATGCTAATCAATGAGCCTGCTCGGAAACCGCCCCGTAAAGTACTATCTGCTACGAAGGTTCGTCGCGATAAAGAATACAAAATAACACGCATCCTTTTCGCTTTCTATTGACAAGGACGTTAACAACAGGTCAATCTTTGACAGAAGGTTAGATGGCATTCATTCGGATAGTAAACGACCATCAACTACCCCGTAATTCACCGTTTCCTGGACATAGAAATAGAGGCATTTCATTCTGTAGCGAGGAAGAAATGAGGGAATAACAACTTCACTGTTACTGTGATAGTCAGGCTCAGAAAGCGATAGCTTTCACCTGCTCCTCGTGCGACTGTTGGATATCTGAAGAAATGGCCACTCACTGCAAGGAGGGGAAAAAGTTCTCAGGAAGAGACGCGTGGTGCCTGTAAGCGAGATTTGAAACTCTTGCATACCTATTTCTGCTGTCGTATAGATTAGCGTCACCACCGAAGATCCCAAGGAAAATACTGTAGCAGGATGTTGTCTTAGGCGAGAAACATAGTGGAGCATGAAGGTTGGGGCTGTCCAATTTGACTATAAGTATGCGTTAAAGTGATGAAAAGAGGCAACAATACACATACCCGAGCTCTGAAATGTGACGAACGTCGCGCTAATAAGGTGTAAGGAGGACAATAGCTGTTCCGTAGCGTGTGTAATAGAAAAACACGGAATTGAATTTCAGAAACATGACAGTTTCACAGCTGAGCGGTCCTTTCGGGATTCGATCGCCCAGCCAGACAAAAGAAAAGGATAGTACTACAATCACATCAAGTACAGAAATAGATACTAAGCCATACCAGCACATAATCCTTTGTCACGTAGTTCCTGATTATCACGATGAGATGACAAGACCCAAGGTCCATTCATCTGCATAAGCACATATCAAAGGTTTCGGTGGATTTGAACAGCTGTTCGTATCATAGGTAAACGAAATCGTTCTGAAATGTGATTTGTAGCCTGATGAACTGCTCGGTATTTCAGCCAAGGTCTAGCGAGCCGAGTCGTTTGGAATGTAAAAGTACAATTGATCTACAGGAGCCGCGAAGTAGGTTATTAAGTGAAGTACGAGAAGAAGCAATGAGCCTGCTCGAAATCTCGACAGCAGCACCGGAGCAGAGTAAAGCTCTTGGCGAGGGGTAGCCGCAACGATATCGGGAAACTGAATAGCTCAGCTATCCGTGGCATCGGCTCTATACATAAGTCCATGAGGAAGCAGCGCCTCGGCTATAGACAAAGACGCGCGTGCTCACCTACGATAAAGTCCATACTGCCAAAACTCCAAGCCTTCGCTCACCCCCAGTGAAAAGCCCGTGATTTGGGGGAGATTGGTATCCAGTGTGGTAGGTTCCTGTCGTGTATAAACGCAGATTGAGTTTGCTTTGAACCAAGTTGTCGTCGTCGAAAGCAGCAGAAACACTGAAACTTGCCAAATTAGTCAAACCAGGCATTCCCTAAGTATGTTTGTGCATATTCTCCTCCGCATGTATATACCTCTTCAATTTGTCTACAACCAGAAGCGTTTCCATGTCATTCACCTAAGTCAACGCATGCAGCTTATGTCGCTACCAGAATGCCGGCCTCTCTGATGCGCTGCCCATGTTTCCGATTCTGCGTCACAAAACGTGACATCTGCCCTTTCTTCTTACCACCACCGTCATTTCTCGTGTACCGCCACCATCGCCTCCATGGACGGTCTCTACGAATATCAATCACCTGCACGTACAACAGGGAAGCCATCGCATCGACCTAGCTCTATCCACTCCAAGCTTTCTTCAAGGCGACTCGGGTACTAGCAAAACTACCTCGCCTGGCAGATGAAGCGACCTCCCGGTCTGATAATGTTGCATATATGCAGCTAGGCGGCAGGGTGTGGACGGTCCTGGCCAATTGGTGTGTTTTCCATTCAATTTATTCGCCCACATTTAGTGAGAAACCCTTCACCAGGACCGTATTGTTACGAATCATGCCAAGAATATCCTCACAATTCGTCCGCCTCACACATAGGGCGTGTGCGCGACTGGGCTTCGCTGAGTTTGCTTTCGAATCAATAACCCTTTCTATACTCATACCGCGTACCATAATAGGTCGAAACTCCCCGCGTTTCCGTCACCAATTGACAACTACACGGTCCGTAATAATCTGTTCTTCTTCGAAGTCCTGTGTCTAATTTTCCGTGTAGCGACTGTACCATCCAAAGGTATTGGCGGCCATGCGGGGTATTACTATGGATCCCGCAGCAAGGTGGGATGAGCTCGTGGTGGGATAAGCGGAGGAGTAGGGTTTTGCCCAGTAGGTAGTGAGCGTAGCCACGGAATGTGTCGTAGTGGCAATAAATCAGAATCGACTGCAATTTCTCCCAAACGCTATTATATAAATAGGCTCTGGTATATTCGGGTCGATTTAGGCCTGTAACCGTAAACGCACATAATGGATGCGAATAGAATATTTTCGTGTATTTGGACAAACGTAGATTATTTCCACTACAATTACAAATAGTCTACGGTAATCTCCCCCAAATCACGGGCTTTTCACTGGGGCTCACCCCTCGCACCGTCCACGAAAGATTCGGAGGCATCTGCACTCTCACTGCCCAAATGCGGGCGGTGGCGACTTGCTTATATGCGCCAGTCATACCTGTTACTGGTCCTTTGTGGTCCCGCAGTGCTTGAGACGATAGCTGATTATGACGTCAAGGGAGAACAAAAGTGAGCTAGGGCAGTATACTCAGGCGATCGTGTCTCTGGACCGGGAGAGTGGTGTTCATTAGATGCTATGTGTGCACTACAGCCTAACGCTGTAGACACAATCATAATCCAATCAGACAAAAAGGGAACAGACCGCGTACAATATGATAATCAAGAAGTCAGCATACAATGCTGTGATTGTGATGTGTTAGACAGAAGCTGGGTCTGGTAACATAGGTGGGTACAAGAACCATAGGCTCGCCGAGAATAACGGAAACCCATGTGAACGTAGGGGAAAAATGAGGAGGAGATGCGAGGAAATGGTAGTAGAAGGAAAAGACGCGCCGATATCGGACCGGGTCAACCACGTGGACGTGACACGTCCTCTTTCATTTCTACTTCCATCCCCGTTTCCCATGGCTTTCCTCAAATTCTCTCGTCTCTCGTTCTCGATACGCTAAGAGGCTCTTATGACTGTATGGGAAAGATAGAGAATCGAGGACGCACAGTAAAAGGGTGGTTAACAGGAATGATGGGCCTTCAGGTAAGCCAAACAATTTATTTTATGACCGTTACCACCTTTAACTTGTTTATTTTCTCAGGATTGCTATACACAGAAGACTTATAATTCTCTCCTTTTGTCTTCGCGACGTACTCCTTATCTTATCAGAAAGGAAAAGCCAGCTATCGGACTCAAAGTTACAATGTGTCGTTTCATCGTTTACTTAGGGAGGGCCATGTGCTTTTTGCTACACTGACGATAACTATATCGGAGTGAAGGCAGTAAACAGCCGTCATGCCTCGCCTACCATGATCATGTAGCCCTGGAAAACTGACGAAGTTCAATAAACAGAGTCGTTTTGGGCGAGTTGTAGAGAGTGGTGATTGGTCTTTCACGCAAGATTCTGCCTGCTTCGATTCTCTTCCGAAAGAAAGGGTGAGAAAGATCCCGCCTCTTTACGATTGAACTGAGCGCGAATCCTGTAATAATTTGGACCGTAGGAGTTGCCACCTCTATCGGCTTATTGGGCGAAACAGCGGCCATCTAGGTGATTGCGTGCACAGATTCTATTCCCTGTAATACTGACAGAATATAACTCAGATTAGAATAGCGAGTATTGCAGAAGGAAGGACGACCATCGTAGCATGCAGAAGGTCTGATTTGTTTGCCTGTATAAAGGAGTATTATCCAATCGCACTGACTATGGTACCATGCCAGATAACAGCGGTAGTTTGCGACACGCTTATCCTGCGCTAACTGTGGATATGGCCTCAGATCTAACTCTGAATCCCCATCACCGTTTCATTCAATCGTCTTCGTCCAGTAACCTCGCGAGGTCGATGCTGTATTCAATGTGGCATACAGTCTGCTGCATTGGAAATTCTAACGGAGCATGTCTCCTTCTCGTCAACCAAAGGAATGTCTATATGGATATCGCTATGTAAGGCAAGCATAACTCAATTCAATGCGTTAAATATCACGTCTCTGATATGTGTTATAGTTAGGCTGTACCTACCTACCTACGACGATCTATTCTCTACGTAGTGCTAGCGGTAGAGAAGCTTCGCATCACGAGATACATCATATAGCGAATGAATCATTCCTCGACACTTTGGTTCAGAATTAATGTTGCGGTGAGGAAGGCATGTCTTTGATCAAACTGGCACCGTTTTATAATTGACATCAATATGTACCGCTTTTGCATAACAGGAAGTGCAGGAAATTAAAAAAGGCAGCAGCTCATATCTTCAAGAATTCCAGCCAAGGCGCAATTGAACCACACTCGTCCCTCCAGATGGATCTAATTCTCGCTGGAAATAATCTCCCGTTGGCCTACGGCAGCCTGACCATAGACTCGCTAGCAATGGTACGATGCCACCTCTTCGGAAACCTTTCTATGAAGAATGGTCGCAATGAAGAAGAGAACATGACAGAGCGGGACCTTCAATCTCTGTTACACTGAGTGAAAACCAGCGCGTCCCATGAGTCGCGCTGTAACAAGGCAAAGCTGAGAGAAGGACCTGGATGTCTGCTGTCGATAGATGTCAATACCGAATAAGAGATGTATTCTGAATTGTAAAAATACTACCGAGATGTGCCAGGGACAAAAAACGATGGTTCCCACTCATCCCTCGCACGCCATTGGACATCTGGTGAAAGGGTACTCTTGAAGAAGAAAGAAGCAAGCTCTTAGAAAAGATATGCGTTCTTAAGGTCCAAACATGTTCAATGAGATTCAAAACTTTCGCATAGGCATTGCTGCTTGCCGCATAGAGTAGCACTACCCATCACATAAAGGCGGTACCAGGTTAGCATCAGGAACGGTCATCGGGGAGGGTCCGAACAAACCCGTAGCTTACCCCCACGAAGGTTGAGTGCGCTACCTCCTCGCGGGATTCGATCTGCCAACTGGATAAACATAGCGTGTCTCGGGGTTATTATATACCGAAATAACCACTAAGCTATATCAGTACAACCAAAAATAGTCCCATAAACATTTGTATTCACAACGGCATGGCAAGACCTAACGTTCCTGGAAGGCCGAGATTTTCCCATTCATTTTTCCGCACACGCATATATCAAAGGTTCCGGTGAATTGGCAATCTTCGTATTATAGGTGGACGTACGTCGCGAACGTCGTGAAATAGAGCTTGTAGCGTAATGAACTGCTCAATATTTATAGTGGTTTAGCTGTTTGAAATGAGAAAACACCTTGCGATGTGGCGGCGGCGATATCCTGAGCCCTTGTGGATACGAGCCCATGAATAGTGGAGTATGACACTAAGCAATGAGCCTGCTCCAAAGCCAGACGGCAGTATTGGAATGGAGTGATGATCTTCGGGAGGGGTGCTCGTCTGTCGTAGTCTTAGAACTATAGCTGCGCATGTAGTAAACGGAACACGGAGACGAGCTAGTTCATTACCCAGTTTGAGAACTGGAGGTCGCATCTCCTGAGAGGGCGTGCAGTGATGTTCATGGGAAGCTATGAGTGAGCTGAAGCCTGTAGGCATAATCATGATCTAATCAGACAAATAAGGGCATAGACTACGTACAACATGACAATGCGACCGCAAAGTGGCATATATGCCGAGTGCTGCTCCTCCTTGATTATCCACTGGTATGTCACAGTTACAGGTATTGTAGTCAGAGTGTTAAGACGATGCAGTCGAACTAGCTTTGGTAGGTACAAGATGGCCTTCGGAAGGCGGAGCGGTATCGGCTCTGCTCTCTAAGAACCATAGACTCGCCGAGGATAATGAAAATCCAGGAGGGAAAATCCAGTAGAACGTAAGGCAGGGATGAGGAGGCGGCGCGAGGAAGAGGGCAAAGGTGCGCCGATATTGGGCCGGGAAAACCACGTGGACAAGACACGTCCTCTTTCACTCCCATCCTCGTTTCCGGCTTTCCTCAAGTTTATTCGTCTCTTGCTCCCGCTCTCGTTGTGCTCAGAGGATCTCCGGAATTTACGATAAATTTTGAGAATTCGGCATGCTAGTAGTAAAGGAGCTGTTCCTACACTAGGGAAAGTGAAAGAGTTACTTATCTATATATTTCTTCCACCTTCTAGTGTTGATGTTCTCAGTGTCGATGCCCGTAACTGTTCAACCGGCAGAGAAACACTGTGACTGTGCTCCCCCGGAAATGACGCGTCCCACTATATCGAGCTCGAATTGCGTCTTGCTCAGGCGGTGTGGCAAATTTCTCTTGCTATTTTCAGCTGTATAATGTAGGCTGTCGTTCTAATGTCTGTATCTCATCTTCCATGTGAGAATTGACTAACTTTGGGACCTTATAGGGATATATTATGATCGCCGTATACGGATTTTCGTCGAGATATCTGCCTCGCTGAACTAAGCTCAATGTAGATTGATAAAGAAAGTGAGCTTTGAAACCTTACATTTCCGCTCAGATGCTGGAGGGAATCTATTCCTTTTGGTTCATATATACGGGTTATCTAGATATCCATAACCTCAAATCGACACCTCATGCATTCAATATATTCTGACAACATAGCCTTCTAATGAGCCTAGGTCAAAATTCCTTCCATTTACTACAATTTTCGATTTCGACTCCGGATCTTGTGGATAGTTCAAATTTCGAGGACTGGAACCTGTTTAAGCTAAGATCCTGCAGATCTGGACATCTCTCGGAGATTAAATCTACGATTTACAGAACCCGTTCTCATCAAATATCCGAATCTCTGGGAGCAGGGGGACAACTTCTTTTTCATCCCCAAGAAATCCGCTCGCTAACCATCAATATGATAGACTGCACCGACCAGAACAGCTCACTATTTCTGTACTGACCTCATATAGTACTCCCCTCCAAACTGGACGGAGCATGGAATAGTTGCCATAACAGCTAATTCATGATAGTTCAGATGATGAAGAGGTCTACATTCACTGGTCCATCTACTTCTGTACGTAAGTTACTACCGTCTATCGGGTGCGCTTGTTCAGAAGCTGATTCTCAAGCAGAACACCATCCGGATCATGGTGCTTCCCTGGAAACATCACGACACAGACACCGGACTCCTAATGAGCGCAGACTAGCCTCTTCAGGTCTATATCTCCGAGTGTTGGATTAACGCCTGCTGCGATCCCCTAGATGCTGATTTTCGAGCGGTGTTGGGTCAGGAGGTGTCGTTGGTGAGAATGGCATCATCCTTTTGCTCCCAGCCTGAAGTGAATCCATAGTCAATTCAACAGGACAGAGCCAGCAATAGCGGAGATAGTCCATATCATAAGATTCGTCGTCCAGTGAACGTTCCTGATTTTTGACACTTCAACTCAGAATTAATGTTGCCGTATGCTGGACATTAACAAATTAAGGGAAGTGTATTTCAACCCAAAGGAAGCCGAAGTGTGTTATCTTACTCCATTACCATCCACGAATCTTTGGAAGGTTTTGCACTTCCAGCTCTGATCTGTCTGATTTTCATGTAGAATCATTCCTCCTCGCTTTCTCTGATATTTCTGTCTCTTCCGTCTTCCGATTAACGGCTGTGATCACGGCTTATATCAATACTGAAGTTCTGTGGGTGCGAGTCGAAGAGCATCTGAGCGGTACATGCATCGCTTTGGAACCATTTGTACAAGGTTTGTCATGCTGGGCGTTCTGTGTTCTTTGCGCTCACCATTTTGCTTTAGGTGCTTATCATATGGCTGGTATTTCCTTAAACCAGTTTAGCCAGGCGATATTGTCCGCCTCCCATCAGATTTCTCGCACAACAATGACCAAGGTAAGTCTCGTTTTCATTAGAGTATCTCACAACTTCGTTGATGAGGTGCTCCACCTAATACGAAGCAAGATGTGCTCTGAAGTATGTTAAAATATGTGCTAGACCTCAATGCAGTGATCATTATTGCTAGGTTGTGACATAGCGATGCCTGAAAAGGCGCACATCGATCTCAGTTCCTGATGTCTTAGCGTACGATTCCCACTCGGACAAAAATTGTCGAGTCGGCGAGGCATGGATGATCATGGAAGGGGTTGGTCGATTCCATCTTGTAACAGGATAAATCGAACCATTTTCTCAGGTTGACGGGAATGACACCGCATCAATATGGGACCATTAGTCATGAAAAGAAGCACAAACTATCTCTTGCTGGCGAAAAACTGTATTTCCCTACTGCACGTGAGTGTAGGGAAGAAACCGTAATGCATAACACTGGACCCGTTTCCTTGCTTATTTGGACATGCATAATGCATAACGATTGCTTTGTTTCCAAGTTTTTTCGTTGCTGCTTGAAAAAGTTTATGAAATTCACTGTGATTGTTCAATGCCACCTTTTGCCGTTGCTTAATTTGGAAACTGTAATGCGTAACTCCAGGTCCGTTTCCAAGTTTCTTTCCATCCTGACTGTAACACTCATATTGTGGCTGCTTCCCTACACTCACGTACAGTACACTCTCTCCGGTTCAATGCAATAAAGAGCATCTACGAAGATTGAGGACGTTTTTCTATTGGACCAATAGTTACGACAGAGACTAGTGTCACCTACAATTCAGCTCATCGTCATGAATGCAGTCCATTTTTCAATGCTGCTGACTGGCTCATTGCTGTTGCTGGAGGACACACGGCATTTGTGCTACCCTCATCTTCCGAATTCCATGCCCTCGCCCACCAGAGCTATGTACACTCCATAATCAATCTTCCCCTAACCTCGCTAAGAACAGAACACCGATCGTGTTGAAACACATCGATTTGTCGATGCAGAATATATTCGTCCACTCTCATGGCCCAACTGGGATTGTGGGAATTATCGACTGGGAAGGAACACGTACCATTCTGATGTGGGCTATGATTGCGCATTTTCTGTGGCCGTATTTTGCGCCTACAGCGGAACAGCATCATTTCACATAACTTAATTGTGCCTTGCTTAGATCGCCACGCGGGATCAAACCGCTGAAGTTCCCCCTACTTCTATTGGTCTGTAACGGAATAAGGTCTAGTGATAACATGAGGGTATCCATAGGACAATATTTGCAAGCAGGAGGATACTCAGTACACGATCCTTGAAACTCCATCAACTTCAAGAGTTGAAGGCGTCAAAATGAATAAGAGAACAAAAGCACTTGTTATGTCAATCAGTGCCAATGAACAGATTCTAGTCGTTCAGTGTCGAGTCTCTGTGCTTTATGATACCACTGATGAAGCTGGTAAATATAAGGTAAGCAGGACATCCTGATATGATTCAGCAAAAAAAAAGTTTCTGAAATGTGCCTGTTGTGAACAAAGGGGCACTATATCTTACAATGTCAGAGTAGGAGCGCACTGAAATGAAAGCGAGCCTCTCACGGTACAGAAGCACTACTTGGTCTCCTACATTTGCCATTATTGGGACGAACTACTGTTGCCCCGGTGGACGATCTGGAAACCTTCCAGAAGCGCAATGGTTCAAGTCCATTGAATGGCAATAACGTTGCAAAAGCACATCTTTTTATGTTTCTTGGGGATTACACAATGCTTCCAGTTGCACAGTAGTGAGAAGAGGAACGCTTGGTATTCATACCTCAGTGGTTTTGCATCCTGTCCTGATGTGTCGATGTAGATCAAGGTGTAATGGTACCTAAAACCAAAACCGCTTGTCCATGGGTCGAATTCATGGGTTGACTTTGCAAGAGAGATGCTAGACATATTTTTCCCTTGTTTAATTTTTTGGAGACATGATTCCAGATAGCACTCGGGATCTTTAGTGTCTTTTTTTTTTTTGGAAAGAACATCTTATCTAAAGGAGGACGCTGCTTGTTTTTATATTTAGTTCATGCATAAGTCACTTTGTCTGATGGGGAGAGGTTTCGTTATCTTGAAACTTGGTAAATTGATGGAATAACAATTCAAAAATAAAGTCTTTACAACAAAAATCCGTTTCGCCAACTTGCACAGTCGATTCTTTGGCTAGCACTGGCCCATCTATTAATTACCTTTGATTATAGATATATGTCGTCCTCTTGGGTCAGCGGTAGCACGTGAACAGCTGCATATGGTGGTTCGAATCCGTCTTCAGACAATGCGCAATCTTCAAAAATCGGTAACAGTTTTTGGCCACTTATTTTGGTGCTGTGTGTGATGTTGAATTCTGCCACTAGATTTTGGTGGTCCAAAGGATGCAGTAATTTGATTTCCCCTGCCTTCGTAGAATAATGGGACAGGACCTTGGAAGATCTCTTCCGACAGGCAGTACGGTGCTAGGTGCTTTCTTAGAAAATAAGCTTCCTTGTAAAACCTGTCAGCGGTCGCAAGATTACGTATATTCATAAACGGCGATGTAGTACATAGGTAGGAGAGATATCGTCAGCCGTAAGGATGAACTGATACATCTCCAGATGCGATGGTTCGAATCCATTGGTTGACAGTTCTGCAATAACCCGAGTCTTTATTTTAATTTTGGACTTGAGGTTTTGAACAGGTTCAAAGTGGTTCAACGCGTTGTCAGTCCTCGAGGTAGACAAAGTGTATTCCCTGCTGACATGGATGTGGCCCATTTCGAGTTTCGTGCCAGTTTGATCCTCAGGGCGGTTCGTAATGGCAATGGCCAGCTCTGGTGTGTTGATTGCCGATATTGGGAATTTTAAATGCCGACACCCCCCTCCTCATTTTCTCCCAACATCAGTGCTTTCGCCTCTCACTCGCCAACCCTCTTGGCCTGAAACACTTTCATTGGAGGAGGATAGGCATGATATTGGAATCACTGTTCTACGAGTATCACATCAGGAGCTAAAGGAAATATGACTGGATGCTGTCCTAGTGAGTTTCTATCTGTCCATCTGCTCTCTCTGCTGCTGATGTTGGTTATACGCTGCTTACCAGGCACATCAAAGAAAATCCTGAGATTGCTCCGGAGACGGCTTTGCATGTGACAACATTCACTGTGATGCTCCTCAGGCTTCCCGATAGGCATGTATTCTCTCTTCTGGTCTTGATTTGCAACTATATGCAGCCAACACTCTGGTAGTCACTAATCACACCTCAACATGAACGACATTCAATATCTGATGCAGCACCCCCAAGTCTCTGATCCATGTCAGTTCAATGCACCCTAGTAGCGTAACAGTCACTGGTTCTTACTAGACGTGTATGACAGGATGACTTCTATGTCAGGTCCCTGCATTTCCTGCATTGCTAGGCATGGAACAGCTTAACGGCAGCCCTTATTTTGGATCCACTCGTGTAGTCGGCCGTGGAGAGCTACGAATACATGTCATGCCGGTGAGTAACTGCCTATCTATTGGTTTGCCTGTTCTTGACATTTAGCCAGATATAAATTATCATGAGCATACCCGCCGTCCATATGGCGGACTAGCTTCAGCACTTTCTCAGCATTCTGGTCATGAATCAGGATTATCCCAATACGTTGAAATCAGGTAAACCGTTCGCCACCTTTCCTTAGTCCTTCTCGTCCCACATGACATTCCAGCCTTGGTCGCCCCACATACGAGATCCTTGACCTTGTATGGACACTTTGTTGATGTAAACATAAACTATCTCTTCATATCTATCCACCTGACATCCCTTTAGAAGGCCTATCCTCTTTATGGCCCTCGTCACATATAGGGTTATTTCCCACCCAAAATATCTTTGGTGTAGAAGCATCCCTCCCAAGTAAGGATACCCGGGATATTCGCTGCCTATCCGTTTCCAATATCTGACTACCCAGTGAGTCAATATTACCGTGCTTTCAATCTGTACTAACAATTTACATGCTAATAGCACTATACGGCAGCCATGTTTCCACTATCGGGTTGGCAAATAATTGTGCTTGGCAATTGCATATCGGTGTTCTTCTTCCAGTTCTTCTGAAAGGCCGGTCCTCGATTCACCATGCAGGTCGCCCATGCTCTGTGGTAACACTCTGGACATCATCTTTCAAGGTGAGTGTGCTGTTCCTTATCACTTTCATTGCTCTGCAGAATGGTCTTGTTCTAGGTCGGCTATGCTCCTACATGCTCAGAAGCATTCTTTGGTAAGCAAACTATCCCAACTTTGTGTGTGCATTTTTTATATCTTCATCAGCCACTGTAGAAATGGCAGATCAGCCCTATCTGATGTAACAGAGACCTGTGTCTTCAGATGATCGTGGTTCAATTCCACGCTGTGGCTATTAGTATGAATGTAAGAGGTGATGACTGTCTGCCTTTTAGCATCTGCAGGGAGAGTTTTTTTCTATCAAACTATTGTAAAGGTAAGGTATTCGGCACCCGGTTCCATCCTTGTTGCTTGTGGTTTCATGCACACTGAGCAAGAATGATCACATGATGTTGACGCATCGATGGCTGATCGAATTGGAATACCAAAGGGCTATATCCACAACATGCAGTGCATATTATGTCACACCAAATGGATGGCTTCGCAGGTTCTTTCCAGGTCTCTGGCATGACATGCATGCAGTCATCTTGTTTCCTCAGAAACCTTCTTTATGTGCCATTATTGATGAGTGGTGTAATTCTACAAATGGGACGGTTCGAATCCCTCCATTGGTAGATCGAGATGTCGTGAAACGCTCTACTTTTTTTTGTGCGACATGCCAGTTTGCCAAATGCAGAAGAAGAATCACGTTTTTGGAGAGGTCCGTCTGCTAGTAACTGGACTCTGTTCTTTTCTTCCTGATGGTCTGAGGGCGGTCGTCTTCCGAGTCCATCTATTGGTAGTCATGTGTAATGCATATGCCTTTTTTTGTTTAGCATAGTCGACTCATTTCCTCTGTCACATTTATAGGAGAACTAATGGCTAGAAGAATCCATAGTAACAATAACACTGTACATATGAATTGTTTTCATTTTGTTTTATTACACAGATGTGTCGACCACTTACATCAAGGGTACAATGTGAAGATACAGTTGTTCGAATCCACTTACTGGCCATGTTTTGGAAGACGCAAATTTTTCGATGCCAAGTATCATGAGTTTGATGAACGAAGTCTAGGTAATGACCTTGGTTTCTGGAAGAATGGGTCCCATCAGCATATATTGAGTGACATGGCTATGGCAAGGCCATATAGCCAATATTGTGTACAATTGCCCTGTAAGCACAGGAATTAAATTGTATACAATCCTGTGAGGCCTGAGTTGTATACTTACATGACTTCTGATATGTAATGGCCTAAATCCGCATTTTCTCAACTATTAGGCACATTTCCCATTGGGATGGGCTAGAATTTTCTGTGAGACCTTTCATAAAAATCTATAATTAGCCTGTGAAGTCAGCCCATCAATATCTGGCTGAAAACGGCTGGATGCGACCAAATGAAAATGGATGTAGTGGCAGTGCTGAATTTTTGATGGCATCATAGGGGCTATTTTCCGGTCAGAATAGGATTTAGGCTGGTTTCTGAGTGCTCAGTGGGTCAGGGAATGGTACTGGAATATTCATAAACCTAAATAACATAAGATCTGACCTACTGATGAGGTATGGGGGCTCTGGAGAGCATGTAATATAGGATTTTCGCAAAAATAGCTGCAATATTTGCTTTTTGGGGGATTTTTAGGGTGATACATGCATTGGATCGACCGGGGGACTTCACCAATGAATTTCCTGACCTTGAAAACCCTCAAAAGATCCCTCTATAGCACTTGTGGCACATTTTATTACCAGGATTAGATGAGCATATTGGATTTTTAGGATGCAGCATGCTTTGGATTGCTTTGAAAACTATACCAGTCGATTTGTACACTATGAAAACCTTAGAATACATTGTCTTCTATAATATTTGACCTGTATAATACTGTAAAAAAGTGGGGATTGGGGTGCACATATGGTTTATTTTGTTTTCTGTGCTTCGGATGAGTCTGGGACTATCACCAATAGATTCCTTGACATTTCAAACCCTTAAATGACTATAGGAACCTTTTATTGGGCTCCATAAATGATGGTAATAACAATATTACAGTTTAGGAGGAGCACATATGGAAAATCACTTTTCTGTACCTCGGAATACTTCAGAACTTCTACCAGTGTATTTCTTGACCTCGAAAACCCTCGGATAACACCAGGATTTAAAGAAAACCTACAAAAATACATGTTAAAAAAGAGTAATAGGGGATGGAGGAGATATACCTTGTATTATGCATTTCTAGTGGTTGGAGAAGGTATTCCTGTTATATGAGAGACGATATGTATTGTATAATCATTTGTACAAATTCCCACATTCATCTGAAATGTATTGGAAGAGATATAAGTAAATCATTCTGCAAATGATGAGGAGCACATCCCCAATTTCGATATTCTGATCATTCTATAGCTTGGGGAATGTCAGAATCGGATTCCTTGACCCAAAAATTTTCCATATGTGCTCCTCCTAAACTGTAATATTGTTATTACCATCATTTATGGAGCCCAATAAAAGGTTCCTATAGTCATTTAAGGGTTTGAAATGTCAAGGAATCTATTGGTGATAGTCCCAGACTCATCCGAAGCACAGAAAACAAAATAAACCATATGTGCACCCCAATCCCCACTTTTTTACAGTATTATACAGGTCAAATATTATAGAAGACAATGTATTCTAAGGTTTTCATAGTGTACAAATCGACTGGTATAGTTTTCAAAGCAATCCAAAGCATGCTGCATCCTAAAAATCCAATATGCTCATCTAATCCTGGTAATAAAATGTGCCACAAGTGCTATAGAGGGATCTTTTGAGGGTTTTCAAGGTCAGGAAATTCATTGGTGAAGTCCCCCGGTCGATCCAATGCATGTATCACCCTAAAAATCCCCCAAAAAGCAAATATTGCAGCTATTTTTGCGAAAATCCTATATTACATGCTCTCCAGAGCCCCCATACCTCATCAGTAGGTCAGATCTTATGTTATTTAGGTTTATGAATATTCCAGTACCATTCCCTGACCCACTGAGCACTCAGAAACCAGCCTAAATCCTATTCTGACCGGAAAATAGCCCCTATGATGCCATCAAAAATTCAGCACTGCCACTACATCCATTTTCATTTGGTCGCATCCAGCCGTTTTCAGCCAGATATTGATGGGCTGACTTCACAGGCTAATTATAGATTTTTATGAAAGGTCTCACAGAAAATTCTAGCCCATCCCAATGGGAAATGTGCCTAATAGTTGAGAAAATGCGGATTTTGATTGGATCCAGGCTTTCATACATGTGTATACTTATCAGGCCTGCAGGCCTCACAGAATTGTATACAATCTAATTCCTGAGCCTACAGGAAATTGTATACACAACTGGCCTTATTCTCAGAGATGCTACAGCAACCTTCCACAATGCCAACATTGGTAATTTCAAACTCTGCGCGGTTGCTTATCTCTTCCCGCCGCTAACGGAATGCCCACATGGTCGTGTTGAGAGCTTTTCCTGACAGTAAGCATTAGTGCTACATTTCTCTCACTCAGTGAGTTTCCAGAAACTCGATTGAACACATGCATGAATAGAGAACTCCTGAATTTCGATCAGCAAGGATGCTGCCTGGAACAGGCATGCTATGACTATGACTCGTGCATTGTAGACCCAGACTCAGGCATTTCAGTAACCTGTATCAAGGTACCCTGTATAATTTCACCCCTCCCTCAGATAAACACACACCCCTTCAGGTGAAGCTCAGATTCCTATGCCAAATTGTCATCCTACACAACTATTATTGTGTTGGACCTCTTTCCTTTCCATGAAACTCACCTTCAGGCCTTCTCTCCGACTAGCTGTCTGCCAAACCCTTTCTGATCATATTAGTGCATGAAGGAACTGGGTCAACATGCTCCTTTCTCTTTGCAGAGGAGCCTAAATCAAGGTCAGTTAAATCATATGATGGACGGATTCTCAGCCCACAGATGACTTCAACACCTCAGCCATATAATAGATGGTCTTATCTAGGAGTATGTGACTGGACCCTTCTCCCTGCCATCATTCCACCAGAGTAAGAAAACTCTGCTCTCGTGTGGCTATGTAAATAACATTGTTTCTCATACAGGTATCTTAAGGACACTGTAATCTTTGGCCCGCACAAAGTTCGAAGTCATATCATCTTTGTCCAATAGTTGTTGGCAACACGACACCATTATCAGGCCCAGTAAGTAGCCTGCCGTCTCTCCCTTCCAATTTGTATTGAATAATCTTTATCTTATTTGTCGTTTGAGATGTATATGCTGTTAAATAAGTAGACATTATTCAGCTGAAGTAGGGGACCAGTATCGCTTTTCCACCCCTTGGAAGTAAGACCTGCACTCGAGACTTCTCCCTTCTTGCCACATATGATACCTGTAAATTCTCCTGGTTACTCTTACTAAATCTTTCTGGAACAGAAGAGCAAGCCACTGTTTGTACTCTCCTCTGGGCTGCCTTATGACTGTTTTTCCAGTTATCCTTTCTCAATAATGGCCATATAGCTGCAGGGATCCACCACCAGAAGCATTGATGGTGATGATCTCTGACATCCATATGGGCAGCGGTACACTCGTCTTCGATCCCTGTCATAGCTCCATATTTTTGCTCCTCTTTCTAGTGTATACTCCCAGCACAACATGAGGCCAGTGACTTAGTCGCAATCTTAACAGAAAGCCAACGGCTTATCATGGGTCAGTGGTACAATTCTAAAAATAGAACAGTTCGACTTCTCTCCTCCCCATGTGTAGATTATGGCTCTGCCAAATGCAGTGTTTTTGGCTGACCTTCTCCGGTGAACAGTGAATTATAATCATAATTTATGCTACATATTTCCTAATCTCAAAGAAAGAGGTGTAACACGCTGTGATACTATAGCTACTTGAAGGGACTGGTCTACCTGTGACTGGACTACTCCTTTCATTTCTCTCCTACCCTACAAGCAAGATGTGCATCCCTGGTTATCTTAGGAACCTAATATTGATTAGTGGGAATTTTTCTACACAAGCGAGATGGTTCAAACCCATCCACTGGCAACTGCCCTGCATGTTATTTGTGGACGAGTAGGTTTTTTTCTCTTCATGTTGCAGGCTTTGCATAGTTCCCTGTTCATGTGATTCACAGATAGTTTAGTCTGAGTAATGGCTTGCTGATTTCCACCATGACGGTAGAACATGAAAGAATTAGCAATGCAAAGTGCTAGTTGAATGACTAGCTCATGAGAAGGAATCAGATGCGTCAACCCCTTGGATGAGGAGTAAAATCTGATAAGGTTGCACCCGATGTGTAAGCGATGTGAATTTCTATGGACTCATAATCGTGTCATTCATTTAGCTTTGTTTACCTACTCCTTCAGATGACTACGTATGTGCTGTTTTTCAGCCTTTTTCATAGCTTTATCTAGGATTTCTACCACTATGTTGTGTCTTTGACTCTATCTACCTTGGCAATATATGCCCAAATTGAACTCAATATTGGGTTGAAGACCCATCCCGTGGCAGATCCTTTACACAACGGTTCAAGTCCATCTTCAGGAAATATCATCGCTCTAGAATAGGCACAACTTTTTGGCCACCCTATTCAAGCCTGCGTTCTTACCAATGATTTGCATATGAACTTGACCTGGAACGAAGATGGAAAAACAATTCAGGGAAGATATACATGTGTCCCCTTGTTTATATAGTCCATCCTTATTCCAGATATTCTGTTCACGAATGGGTTATCCTTGAGTTACAAAGCTCCTTTGCATTTGGAATGAAACACTATCTAGCTTGGCATGTAATTCCTCTATTGATGCTAGTGAGTGGGCCAGGAGAATTCTGCGCTTGAATTTGTCTGCGTGCTTTGAACTGCGTTTGCATGCATTTGCGTGCCTTTTGAACTGATATTTCCGCTTCATGTACTCACCTTGGGTAAGGAGCGTTGACCATTGTATGTGGGTCACCATAACATAGATATTGAGTATTGACAGTAGGCAAGAAGTCATGGCAAGGTAACTTGCTGGAAGAAATACACTGCCAATGGTTCAAATCTGTTGGTTGACAAATCAGAAAGGCATTCATAAATGGCTATCTAGTGTGTTTTTGCATGCCAGACATGTGGGAGTTCAATTGGATAAGTCATACATGAATCCTGCAGGTGTGTGCCTTCCTCTCGACTAGGATGAGTAGTAGCATTCATGCTTTCTCTGAAATGGGAGATCACGGATTTGTAGGCTGCATGACAGCGTAAATATATGCCATCGTAGATTAGTGATAGGTGGATCCGCCTAGTGAACCTGGTTCAAACCCGGGAAATGGCTTCCACATTAGTTTCGGGGCTCCTTTTGGTTCGACGTCCTGGCGATTGAGAGAAAGTGCCGTGTAGGGCTGGTCCGGACATGTTGATTGCCGATATTTGGAATTTCAATTTTCAGGCATTTCCTTCTCTCTTATCGGTGACCTGACCTCAACATGGTCAATTTTGTTGGCTGTGTTCTTGGTGATATTTCTTCACTTATGTGGTCTGTATTTGTGCCACATCCTCTAGCTCGACCACTTCAAAGTCACCTATAAATGATTGATGACATGGACGCGCAACGTCCCTCCTGCAGAGCACAGATCAATCAACCTGGTATCCACGAGGGCTACGAGGGTGCAGATGAATCTGGTTGGGCAAAGATAAGTTCATTGTGGTGATCCCAGGTTGTCGTCTATTCATCTTAACTTGTTACTGAGGTTGATTAGAATTGAAGCAGCTTTACCCGAAAAGTACGCCCTCCTCACTGCTAGTTTACATGTTCTTACGAAGAGTAGCTTGGAGTATTTCTTCTCGGACTTTGATTGCCTATTCGATCTCCACTATCAGCTGACTGAGCAGGATACCATACAATGCCACGTTCGGAAGATTGGGATCAAGGAACTCGTCTTTTATCTTCGGGAATGCGAGCTCACTATGATTGACATCGGTGGCCAAAAGTCTGAATGGTGGAAATGGATTCACTTTTTCCAAGATGTGACAAGTTTCCTGATGCTGCTCCGAACTTCAGTTTTGCTTCATTCATCTTCTGCTTGTGCAATGACTGTTTTCCCCCCCTTTCTCTCGTCCTCTTCTATTTCTACTACTCTGCACCTTCATCATCAAAACACATTTCAGTTCTATTATGGCTAGTAACGTATGCTTCTCTCCTTGTTCCTCGTTGATACCGTCTTACCTTTGAACAGATCCGTGCTGCTCCGCTTTGATTGCTATCCTATATCCATATTCTCTAATATTGATGTATCGTCACGACCCTACGACTATCATTACTTCCGTCCTTACATCAATTTCACTTGCATTATCATTATGCACACATGAATGTGCCATGACAGTATCTCCATCGATGCGAAGCCAAATTCTCCCTCCACAAAGAGAAGTGCGAATAAACGAAAATCGGCAGCTCCAGTTGTTGCAGACCGTTTCCATTCGGGCGCTGTGAACATTCTGTTTACCAGGGTCGTGTTTTATATCATGATGACACACCTTTATATTTAGCAGGAGCAACACATGATTGTACTAGGGATTCCTACGGCGTGGCCAAGGTTAACAGGCAACGAGGAAGGATCTCGACACCATCAGCACAAGCTCTCTTCCGTTCACGAGGTATCGTTTCTCCAGGGGAACAAGGCGAGTTCTTCCTGCTTCGCCTCCTACCGGAAAGCTGGAGATGAACGCTATATGTAGAAGTTCCTCCGTCTTCATTATGTAACAAAAGCTGCATCTAATCTTCACAGGCTACTCAAATCAGCGATACACCTGTGTTTTTAATGAAACTGAATCTCTTTCAGGATTGCGGGGATGCCGGCACTTTCTGATTGCCAACATCATTCCTCTCCAGGATGACTGTTCGTATTCGTAGGAGTGGAGGCGATCAAACTCTTCCTCCGCACATCAAAGTTTGATTTCGGTTTGGCAACACTTTTCTTTTCAACCCTGTGATACAGTTGTCTCCTCAAATGATGGAGAGGGAACTTGATGTCTGCTGCGTTGGCCATTACGAATGCTTCCCTATATATGCTATCTTGTATCAGCCATAGAGTTACTCCAACAATGCTATGGCTCAAAGGCCAACAGGCAATAGTAAAGCTCTTGTCGTATGCATCTCTCAGCTTTGTATTCTTGTGTCCCTTCATTGAACTCGTATGCCCACTGTGAAATGGTAACAAAAGACGTCTATCTGATGCGCGGTCCCTGTGCACATGTAGATGGTCGATACTGTCTACAAAAGCAACGGAGAGTATTTCATTGCCCTGTGACTCACTGAAATGGGGAAGGTGGGAATGCCGTCCGCACGGGTATGTTGACGCGACGTTTCCACATGATTCCCATCCAGGGTGGAGCTATCAGCCACGATATTACTGTATGTTGATAACGATCAACAACCGTTGTCCATTGTCCTAGTGCCTACCAGCATCTTCATGTTACCATGGTTTGCAATTTTTACTCTTCTAGTACTAAATCTGATCGCTGTCTCAGGCACGAATGGCGGGGTGCTGCGACATCAACACGGCCTGGTGTACTCGACATAAATTTAGCTTTCATGAGCGCCTATTTGCGGTCTTAGGACGATATGCAATAGGTCCAGAACGTGATCTCCGGCACATGCCTGTATGTATACCTTCGTACTCTTATCAATATCCATCACCTCCCACCATGACTAGCATACAGAATGCCATCGATCATCTTTGCGCCTCGCTTTCCAAGCTCTCAACAATGGACAGCAAGAATAAAGCAGATTCTTGGGAAATCGGGTCACCTATGCCACGACCTCTGCGCCACCTCTGCTGCGCCAATCAAAGCATCTCCCAGGATCGCTCTTGCCCCAATGAAGCGATGCTGACCTGTTCAGGCTGTTTTCTTGTTCGATACTGCTCCAAGGAGTGTCAGACAGCCCATTGGAGATCTCATAAACGAGGTATTACTCATATCTCGGATATCAATGTACGATGCAGTGACTTCTGTTCTAGATTGTAAAAACCCCATGAATTCAAAGTCATGGTCACCGACATGGGTTAAAGAGAATAGGAAGCCGGTGTTCCTAGTTGGCGGAACAGGAACGGGTTTACAGACGAAGCAAAGATTTGGCAAGGGAATGGGCTTGTAAGGAGTTCTCCGGTCAGCGGTGATTCGTAAATACTAACATTTGAGTCATTAGATGGGGAGACATGACATCCATTGACATCATCAATGTGGAAAACAATGAAGGTGTTGAAGGAATATGCGACAAAGATCTCTCGCTTGCGTTCATAGGCACGGTTCTGACTTTTTCTATTGTCCATAATATCACTAACATTGTCATTAGCTACGGGGGATCTATGTAATGTCATCAGGACAATCAATGGGTTACCAGAAAACTACAGCGGAACCATCGAAATTGTACTTAATGATATAAATCCTATAGCCGTGTGTCGCAACCTCATTATTCTGTCTATCCTTGGAGTTATTGAGGATGTAGTAAGCATATTTGCTTTATATGACTCATCGTTGTCTGATTTCAGTTGTAGGAGGAAGTGGCTGAGCATGCTCTTCACATATGGTACTCGGTTTTCCTACCATTTTCCTATCAGACCCGTATTGTTCCGCACCTGGCCCGAGCCCCAACTCTTCAAAGCTTTGACGGTACACCTGCTCATCTCACCTCCTCCACCATGACATATGTCAGATGGAGCCTCGACTCTATCCGATTTTTATATATGCAGCTCTCAAGGAAGGACGTGGACTCCGCTGTAGCCAGAGATGCGCTGAACAGTACAATGAACGCACCAGAAAGAGTTGATTATCGTGAACGACAGTATGCGAGCCTTAGGCCCTCCCATAGGGTTGCTTTTGATACTTGGCGGAGGTCTGGGTTACTACTTCCCTTTGGCGACATCAACGACCGTGTATCTATTCCAAATCGATGGCTCTTCTCCCCCATGGGGGATATCTTACTCAATGATGGTTCTAGTCCGCTTCAAGGATGGGAGTAAGCGAAAGATTCTCAATTGCCATTCATCTGTTAATTACTTTCAGTTATAACGAGGTCGTCAAGGCAGGAAGGGCACATGGTACCACAGAAGACGACTTGATGGGTGGCCTGTTCTTCTATGTGAAGGACCAACTCGTTGAATTCTCACAGCGACTTCGGCGGTTCAAGATAAACATTTATTCATATGACCAAGACGTTAGAGACCTTCCATCAATGCTGAAGCGCGACACGTCTTCTCCTCAGAATTTTGATCGCATCGAGGTCTCCAATATCGTGGATAAGAACTATGTTGGCATATCTCTCCTTTCTGATTGGGGTCGTTTGTTAAGCAAGAATAACCCTCATGCGGCCGTTGTTGGCCATTTCATGAATTGGACAACTTGAAAGAAATCTGGGGAGGTATCATCATCAATGGCTCCCAAAGGAGCAGTGGATCGTGCGATGAAAGAGATGGGGGCTTGCAAGCATGTGGCAAGTGCTTTATTTTGAATTCACTCATGTAGGCGCTGATGGACTGTGTTAGGGTGCCCCTACTCGACCGTCTCCTTCTTTACACGACCCTACGCTCCTGAAGATGTCGAGTAGCCTCCAAATATTCTATGATACATCTGTTGCATTCCAGGAATACTTGAAGGATGAGAAGGCGGATGTGATTGCTAGGAAGGCGGGGATTAAATGCCGAAGAATCAACAAGATTGTCCCACATGTGTGTTGCATTCATTTCCAACATCTGATGTGACTGAGGCTTCCTTTCTTTATTAAGCACTGCTTTGCACAACTCGGAACGGTGCCAAATACGCTACCGTATATTGATTCGTCTGACTGGTGGTACAGGGTGGTGAGTCTACTCCTTTATATTCGTGATTGCTTCGCTTGGTAATTTCAGTCATATCTGCAGACATCCCTCAGCGATTCTACATTTTGTGAGCGTTTTGTTGAGTGGGAAAAGGTCACGACAGATGTATAATATTTATTTGCAACAACGATCACTAAAATAAAGATGTAACCATATGAATTGTTGATTTACAATATACATCGGTGATGATTATCACGTAGTGCCACTATCTGGGATTCAAGGTTATGGGAAACAGTACACTTCGAGAATAATTTTCAGAGTCGTTGGTACGGCAGCCATGGTCGCCATTTGACTAATATACCCTCCTCATCCCGTCAAGCACTTGGGTCATGGTAACTGTGTCCGTGGTTTTCATGGCCTACATTCATCTGCCGGTACTTCTGCTTGTCCCTACAAAAGCCTCTCGACCTCCACAGAGTTCTTAGCTTTAGATGACTGGAAAAGCTTCAAACAACTCTCACACGTCTACAAGGAGGAATTGAAACAGCTTTCACGGCGGTTTTGGTGTCGCTTCCACCTCAAATATCGTGGATTGCAGGCCTTGAAGAATCTGACAGATGTTACTCCAGCTTCGCAGTATCTCAGGACCCACAGCGGCTTTTTCTATGGTCTCTACTTTCATCGTTCCATTACTGCTGCTGCCGCAATCATTCCCGTACCCCAATTACAAATAATTCTGCCTAACGCTGTGCTTCAACTGAAAGAGAAATGAGCACCAGACCTCCATGTCGGGAACATGAGTGGAGCTGCTGAGTATTTTCTCCATAAACTGAATGCCATATATTAGGACAAGTCGAGAATGCTGCAATTCTATAATCCTGTATCGTGGAAGTAATGGCCTGGCTCGCTGTGGGGAAAGATTGAATCATTACAGGTGACCTGTATAGAGCGCGGTGGCTGTAACCCCTGGTATACACTGTATGCCACCAGCCGAACAGTCAGTGAAACGACCACTGCTGTGATGTACCAGTCTTTTGGTCCAAAATTCTGTGCAAAAAAACCAGTACAGTTTTTGTACAAGTCTTTAGTCTAAGATATTTTGGTCCCGGATGCATTAACAAAAAGAGCTAATTTTTGTATCAGTCTTTTTATGAATCTTTTGAACCGGTTTTATACTCCCAAAGACCTATATAAATACATCTAGGCTTTGTCTCAATCTTTTGGTTGGTTTTTTCGCTGCAAAAAGACACCGGATCTTTCGGACTGGTCTTTGGTTAGATCTTAGATTTGATCTTTGGTAAGGAAACACGTGTGAAAAAACCCCGATCTTATGACAGGTCTTTGGACCGGTCTTTGGATCGGTTTTTGGATCGGTTTTTGGATGCGGTCTTTCGGTTCCAACATGTGGACCAAAAAACAAAGGAAAGACCACCAATTTTTGGTTCGGTCTTTCTGTCCAAAAGACCAGTCTGACCAGGTGAGTCACAAAGTGATCGACAGTGACTGGGAGGCGGGGAGAGTGTCCGGAATCAAGAGCGCATCACCTGTGACTCAAGGGCATGTCACTGAGTGACTCGAAGGTGCATCACTTTGTGACTCACCTGGTCCTTTGGACAGAAAGACCGAACCAAAAACCGGTGGTCTTTCCTTTGTTTTTTGGTCCACGTGTTGGAACCGAAAGACCGCATCCAAAAACCGATCCAAAGACCGGTCCAAAGACCTGTCGTAAGATCGGGGTTTTTTCACACGTGTTTCCTTACCAAAGATCAAATCTAAGATCTAACCAAAGACCAGTCCGAAAGATCCGGTGTCTTTTTGCAGCGAAAAAACCAACCAAAAGATTGAGACAAAGCCTAGATGTATTTATATAGGTCTTTGGGAGTATAAAACCGGTTCAAAAGATTCATAAAAAGACTGATACAAAAATTAGCTCTTTTTGTTAATGCATTCGGGACTAAAAAATCTTAGACTAAAGACTTGTATAAAAACTGTACCGGTTTTTTTGCACAGAATTTTGAACCAAAAGACCGGTACATCACAGCAGTGGACTGGGCGTTTGCATGATCGCACAGTCTGGAAAGGGAGGCTCGTATACATGCTTATTCTCCTCTTGTATTGACAGTTTTCCGTAGGGGAGGTTGATGCAATCTTCATCTGAGAGCAGACGGACGTCTTCAACTAAGAGGCGGGCTTCGGGTAGCGTAATTAATAGCGGAATAGGAATAAAAGTGCACTGAGAAGGGCCGCAGAGTCTATCACCGACGTGATAGAATGGTCACCGCGATGAGATAGCGAATGTAAAATTGATCCTTCATGATCGCCGAGACTGGCATAGCATTTGAAGTGTTCTTCCTTCCGCACGGCATCGAATTAGCAGAAAATCAGAGACTCTCCTGGTGACACAATGAAGATGAGGAAAATGACATGACAAAACGAAATAGAAGGGACTTGCCGTTATCTGTACAGGAAATGATCGCGGGTGTATTATAAAGGAGCAGATCGTTAAAGATTCGTGACCCTTTTATGGCTAGGTCGCATTATACAATAGTTTGTAGATCTAATGCTCGCATTTAAATTTTATGCAGAGAAGGACACGGATATAGAATACCATACCAAGAAAGATGTCCCGCGACCACGATGAGCCCGACTTATTTCAATGAGCGTATCCTGTGCTATGTACTTGGGACATGTAGACGCTGTAAAGCGCATCTCTAGGGCGCGTAGCAGGATCTTCTATCCGGAAGAGTTGACGAGAGAATGAACCCGTGACATAAAGGATCATGTTAATAGGCGTGATGGTGGTAGGATACAAGCTTTCGACTAAGAGTAGTTCCTCCTTGGAAAAGGAGATGGATGTTTGTGGTAAGGTGACGTTCGACTGATATCGCTTATTGAAGAGAAGATGATTGTGCAGGGCCGGAGGGTCCCCAAGTTCTGCAATGTACGCCATTATAACTGGAGAGAAGATGTAGTAGGGTGTCGTACTGGATACGTCTTATGACCTCGAGCTATTCAGGAAGGCTGTTTGTAGCGAGATATAATGGGCCGATCGTGCAATAGGCAGGTATAGTAAAAAGCCCACAGCGCTTGAATTTCAAAGTAAAAATTAAGCCGAAAACAAGTTCGTGTGGAGATGGATGGAAAACTCGATTCTCGAAGCAGAGCGCAAAGTTCCCTTTGACCTTGGCTCCTTGAGGATGGCGAAGCCGCTGGAAGACAGATCGGGGGACGACGACGAGAGAAATTTATCCCACGATGCTGGCATTGAATGCAAGAGAAGGAAGGTAGCGACGATAGACTGTGGCCGTGTTTGGTGAAAATGAGTGTCGGTGCACTTTACGGAGGCACTGGGGAGCATACAGCGATAAGCGCACGGTATGCCTCAGCATGGCTGTCTGCTATGACGATTTTGGTGTCTATTCAAGGTAGCTGCAGTCGAGCGTAGAAGCGACAAAGAGTACAAGAATATCGTGTAGGTGATTCTCGAGGATGGCGGAACACTCGTCCGTGGGGGTTCAGAGCGAAAAGCCAGGGTGCAGGAACATCGAGTTCGGGCTTGGTGCTTGTTCCCTCTCAAGAAATATCTAGAGAACGAGATGAGAATTAGTGTCCAGCTGAAAGTAGTGAAATAGACGTACCATAATGATATTACTTGCACCCCTACAAGATAGAAGAGAGCGTAGGTCAAAATGTCCGTCACAGCTATCCCGGCTACCATCTTTCGACCTTTGGTAAGGAAGGAATCGCACACGGCAAGTGACGCTTTTCCCGTACGATGTCAGATGCTTCGGATGAGAATGAGCCATGCGACTTGACACTCTCCCTGTAGTACCTTCGGGGGATACATGCGGGGATATTGACGAGCTAGCTTGCAGTGCTGGTATCTGCTGGCCTTCGATTCACCGCTTCCGGAAAGGCTATGTGTGTTTCACCGCTGCCTATGGAGGAGGCTGACATGTACCTAGGTAAAACGAGTGAGCAGAGGGTGCGAAGAAAGAAGCAGTCAACATACTTGGAGGTTGACCGAACACTACACGGCGAATATACATACAACTCTGAGCTGCAAATTCTAGGCAGAGTGAAAGTCTCATTCTCACTGCTGCGTAAGGCGACGAGCGAGGGAGTAAAAGCAGAAGGCAATAAATATGCCCAGCCATCTGCTATGAGGATTTTGATACTTTCCCGAGACTGCTGAACGTCGAAATGGCGAAGATGAGAACGGAAATGTATCCATGGGAGAATGTAGTAAGGATGATTGAGAAACGGGGATGCATAGGAATCTGACGTCCACCATCCTGCGTCTAGCAGAGAAGGAATTATAACGGAAACATTGACATGGGTGAGAATAAGTCACTATACGAAGGAACTCGAGCCGGGTGGGACATTTCCCTGCATCCTTCATAAGTCTCGTGCTCAGGTGTACGAAGTCAGATGCTTTGAGTGCGATGAATTGCGGGGGGCGGTTTCCTTCCTTAAGTGTACCCTCTGAGAACGAACACGTGGAGGAATGTTTGCATCCTGCAACGCAGCATTGGTAATATATTGTCCTTAGGGCGTCGGACCGACGGAGCAGAGATCCATGCTTTGTTGTTCGCCATTAGAAGGAGGTCGAGGCTTATCTATGTAAAATGGGTGAGCACAGGTATGTGGAGAAAGAAGCGAACGGCGTACTTAGACGTCAAACGGAACCTTGCAAAGCTTGGTAGCCATGTTTCTGTACTGAACGATTCCATCACATGCCGCATATTTCCATTTTCCATCGAACGGGTTGTATGCGCAACGTCTATGAAGAGGGTTCCGCGGATAGAGATGGTTCGTACTTTGGCGTGAACGGCAGGCTGCTGTTCACAGCCACTGTGCTAGCTGTAGATTAGTTCGATGAAGAATAAAGATCCCGAAAGAGGGCTTTTCGTAGAGGTGCAGGTGTAATAATCTCTTCCCTGGTTTACAGTTTTGTGAGCTGGAAGACGCTGAATAGTAATTGTCTTACCTTGTATTCCCTCCCTAGACCCCCCAGCGAGCGTCATATTTGTTCGGTGTAGGGGCCTATAATGGGTGGAGTTAAGGAGCAACCCGCCTTGGCGCCAGAGGAGTTGGCAGTTCTGGTCCATGCAGTGCTTATGAGGTAGAATACGCCCTGTGGTGAGACTCGCTGCATCCAATACTAGAGAATGATGGTTGTGAAGCTGAGGAGGCGAACCACGGTGGGAGAGTTGACGTCGTCCTGTCCCAAGGCTTGGCGTTTGTACTTCTGATTGATTCTGAATCAGTGACGAAGAGCTGGTACGCGACGGCCTTCAGTCTAGGTGAGATGGAACCAGCGGTTTGACATTTTCGACGGCGCAATAACCAGGTTTTCTGCTCTGCATTATGTTAGTTAGGAAGGTTTGTTAATATGAATAAGAAGTTGTCATACCTTTTTCCTACTACTTCTTGGTATCCTTTTCGTCTCTAAACAGTACGGCTAGACATCTTGATACCCAGCATAACCATGAGGGAGAACACTCCGGCCTCGGAGAAACTTCATTGACGCCCTATTCCGTGAGTAAACTTCGCATCCGTTGAGGTCGGCCTTTTCGCAGTTGAGGACTCTCATTTATGAGATTCAGGATGCAGGTGTTCATGTACTTGACTGGGGGTCAGTGAAATAATGACACGCAATGAAGGTCCTCGAGCCTCGTCGACATCCTCTGATTGGCCAATAGATGGCGTCCAGTTTTCCAGTATTGGCGCCTGCTGTTCGAGTCGGGGCAATATATCTGAGCTCTGGGAGGACAATCGTACGTATGGCAGGTGCCGTTAAGTGATTAAGTAACTGAGGGCTTGACAGGCATTTCTGGCGGATGAGTTGCGAAGCGTGCAGCGGCACGTCAAGCTCAAATTCGAGTTCGTCGTAGCATACGTAAGAAGGGAATATTAGCAAAGTCAATACTATATTTCGTTTTCTGTGGATTATATTAGTACTAAATAGCGCTGAAAGGAGCAGACGACTTACCATATCGATGGACGTTGGCAAGCAAGAAATCGGAACGCCGGATCCTTGTTGCCGGCACACCAAATAAACGCAAATATCCGGGATCAAATTCGGGCTCTTTGCCTCCCACCATCACTGCGTTCGCAGTGCCGAATCGATCTTCCTTGCCTCGCCTACATCTAGAGAAGAAAAAGCGGCTCGAATCCTTTAACCTTCTGCCAGTCTCGCTGCTATTTTTCCTCATAATCATCTGGGGGCAGTCTTCAACGAGTACAAGCATTGCTGGAAGCGCTACTGGAACAGCTATGAGCGAGACTACGATGTTAAGCTCAACTTCAAGGAATAGCAAGGAGTATGAGCTCGAGTACTAGTGGGAACATCACCGCTAGCTCGACCCTCTCAGTCTCAGCAGAGCTACCGAGTCTGAGTGGTTACTTGACCTGTAGTGCGTCGCTATGCCTCTCCTCTTTTCTTGCAAAATTAACGAGGAGCCCGTAGTAACGAATTGCTTACAGCTTTTGATATCTGAGGCCAACTGCACCAGTGTCGTAGATGTAAACTGTTTCTACCCAAGGTGTGTCTGAATACCTCGTCTTCGCTGTTCTTCAGCTAATAGTCGGTATAGTGCCAAGTTTACGACCGGACTCACGGACTGCGTTACACCCAAAATGAGCTCCCCACGGCGGAAACCCTATCATAGAGCTTCTGCACCTTGGTGTCTACATGCATGTCTCTGTCGTTCAGCATCACTTCAATATCTTCTACCTCGTCGTTGACGAGTGCCAGTATCACGGCAACGACTTCCAGTTTCGATGCCAGAGCGGCATCGAGCACCGTCGGCGGTCCACTAAGTTCGCCCACATCGTCATCGAGCGCGGCACTGCGTCGGAAAAGCGACTATGCGATGCAGAAAGAATCTTTCGTTGGATGCTCTGCATCGCGAGTAGGACCGATCCGGATGTTTGATTGCCGATATTTGTCATTTCAATTTTCGGGCTTTTTCTTCTCTCTTTCTTACCGTGACCCGACGTCAACGCGGTCAATTCTGTTCGCTACGTTCTTGGCGATATTTCTTCACCTGTGCGTTCTATATCTGTGTGGTATCCTCTGGCTCGATTGCTTCAAAGTCGCCTATCGATGATCGACGCGGTGTCCTCTCCTCCTACAGAGCACAGATCCATCAAACTGGTATCTACGAAGGCTGCAAGGCCGCAGATGAATGTGGTTGAGTAAAGATACGTTCATCCCTCTCCATTTCGCCCTGACGCTCGTTGGGTCCAACGCATTTTCAGCTTCTCGGAGAGACTTGTTCCATCCCGTTATCCGATAAGGTTAGTCTTTATCTCGTCCGTTTTATCAGCCTTATATTAAGATGTTGCTCCGCAGACTCCGTATATTAAATACCGCGCTCGAAGTGGGAGTGAACGTGCTATCACATATTCGCTTAATTTCAATCCAGAAAACCGGTCGGGTTAATCGGCCGGGCCGACGCGAACGTGAATGCACGAACGCATTAGATAAACGCGCAATTCGCCGTGTCCGTCGAGAGTCAAATTCTTGGTTGCCGAATTCAAACTTTGGCTGGCTTATTTGACCACTAGACCTGAACGTCAACGTTTCAATACCTGTCGCGGGACCCTCAGAGCTCCAATGCACGTCAGTCGAACCCTAGTCCCCCCGAAACTTATTACTGATGGTTTCATGGTACTCGTTCGACATGTGCAGCGATAAATAACCGACGGCGAATCCACCTCTGGACATGTTCAGCATTCGTTGCGTGTATCGAGCTCTTGAACATGGAACACTACCCGATTTGAATCCACGAGTGTTATAACTCGCTGTCATGCTGGCAAGTGATCACCTATCTGTCCACTTTTCTTGTTCCTAAGTTTTAATTAGCCGTCGACGATCGTGCCTTCCCTCATTCCTGTCAGCCTGGTTATGTTCCGACCCCCTCCTACGGGACATCGCTGCACCTGCATATCCGCAGCTTCCTGTCGACACGCTGGTATCATGATCAACCTACGATGACATTGCTTCCGCGTCAGGTAGCTCATTTGCCACCTTTCTATTTATTGTTCTTTCAGCCTCACTCGGCGTTATAGCAAGCGCTTGGCGCTTAAGTCCTAACGCAACAATTGCATGCTTCTCCCAGGCCTTATCCGTGAAGGTAGACACAATCAATGCCATTTTATTGTTCTACGCTAATTACGACCATCATCAGGATTGCATTTGGTAACGACGGTCGGTCTCCACATCAATCTCACTTCTGTGATGCGTGAGATCTCGCTAGCGGTGAGAACAAAGTCTCTGTTCTATCGTTGTATACTAAGGATTGGTGGTTTTAATAGATAGTTCTCTTCCGCTACTGATGTAGCAACGGACATATTTCATACGATTGTTCCTTGGTAAGAGATCTCATAGTACACTATCATCTATTAACGTCTCCCGATTCTAGTTTACTCGAAAAGTGTGATTTGCCGTTCCCTGGCAAACTCCTTCTCCCGCAGACATTCTTCAGACCGCAGAGCTACTTAGATCAACGGGAGATCTGGCCCGCTAATTCACTTCGAAAGAGAATTCGTTGGAGCCTCGCGGTTCGATTCCGTATAACGGTGTTATGTTGATATGGCCTTTTTGGTATTAACAGACTCTCTTCCTGTGGCAGCCGTCACCCTGGGACCCCGGTGAATATATCCACAGTAAGAACAATGTTTGGATTTCTAATACATGGTAGTCTGTCTCTTACGTTGAAATATTATGCGAATATATCGGTCTGCATAAAATGGAAGAAAGCTGTGCGCAACTTGTTCTGCCTTGAGGTTCTGAGCTACACCCTGTCGGTAAGTAGGTCAGAAGAAATGAAAACCACGGTTGCCATGTGGTATATAATCTCGTTTACTTGGTCGATCTGTTGGATGAGGGAGTAAATCCGCAAGGGCATGTATGCAGTGGTTCAAATCCACCTTCGGGTCATAAAAATGAAGAACTCGAGTTTTTCTTTCTTTCTTTTTTTGACGACCCATAACATATATGCATTAAGTCTTAACACATTTTTCGTGAAGTTTGACAGAGAGGAGACACGTGCAGAAGGATTGAAAAATGGCGCTACAACGATGTCTGCAATGTGATCTTGGGTGAATTTGATGTACGAATCCCTGAGAAATTACTGTTCTTCAGTGCGTACGAGATCCACGGCGGTCACTAGGGTATCTTATCGAAGCGGAGGAGCGGTGACCATCATTTTTGGTGCCGGAATGGCTGCGATTGCTTCCGAACCTCTTGGCGGCTAGTTTCGTGCCGGTAGGCTGGCGTGTTGATTGCCGGTATCTTTTTTTTGTCATTTACCATTTCGACAACGCGTGGTCAGAGTCAGTGTTGTACGGTCGCCCGACCTTGAGCCGAAGTTAAGGTTGCCGGTCACGAAACTTCGGCGTGACAGTTGCCAGTCGCGTAAATAACCTTGACCTTGACTCTGTGGCTGTGATGCCACATGTGACAATTTTTTTGACTTATTTGTTTGTCTCCGATCCCGAATGCTTCGTCATCATTTTGCCGGCCTTCCGGTCCCTGTGTAGGCAAGGAAGCGGTAGCGTGGGGAAAGTCATGGTCATTTGCTGACCGTGACAGTGACGACTTCGTGACAGTCATGACTTCGGCAACTGTCGCGCGACCCGCACAACACTGGTCAGAGTACCGTTGTACTTTCGTCGCACTGAGACGTTTCGTTAAGTCCTGTCGTCAGTGCTGCGCCTTGTCTTTCGAAGGGTGCCTTGCCTCTGATGCCAACTTTCCTCGAATTTTCCTTGTTACTGATCAAGGCACCGACGACCCTCTTTCGCTCCGAATACCGATGCCAGGTACTCGCCGTCCCATCTTTCTGTTTTCTGATCAGTATGTGGTGCCTGCTCCATTCTCTATTACTATTCTCCGACTCTGCCATACGAGGCCGACACTCCTTCACTGGGCTTTGTTCTCACTGCTGGTGGCGCTATCAGGCTGGTATCCTCTACTCTCGTCCCTACGGTAATCATTGGCTTATCGTACAAGGCGCCTATCTGTATGCCACTTGATGCAATTCCCTCGCTTGTCATGGGAATTCATTGATCGTGCCCGGCGCCGAACTGTATCAGTGCATCCTCAATCACGCATTTCCAGTCTTGGCGTATGACAGTTCAGTTCAGTTCATAATCCTCAAGGTCTTATCTCTGCTACGACTTTGGTGGTAAATGGTACGGTGCTAGTTGCTCCCATCAGTTAGAGTTTTCTTACTGTGATTTATTGGAAAACCTCGGTGCTGTGTTGGTGGCTAGCTCCCCATAGTAAGAATGGCGATGTCACCCCTGAGTATTTGCTTTCATGCGGTCCATCTTAACACAAGGAGAATATATATGAGTAAACTCAGTCGGGCACAACGTGGGTGAAATGACTGTATTGAGTCGACTGTACCTAACACGAGGAGAATATATGTGAGTAAACTAAGTAGTGATGTAAGTAATAAGTAGGACAATGAGCGTAAGGTATACGTACCTCAGTCGGGCACAACGTGGGTGAAACGACTGAGGTACAATGGTATCTACGGTTGAACTTATAGCTGATCGAAATAAAGGAGCGTGTATCAATATGGTAATAAGGAACGGAATGAGATAAGATAAACTTAGGGTATACGGGGCGAATCTCCTTCAACACATCTTTCTTACAGGAAGGGTGTATCCCTGCTAAAGAGCCAGAATATACCTGATCGCGGTAGCTTCCATATGTCTTTGGAACTTAGAGAGAGAGACAGAATCTCCGACGACGTAAGTTTATTATCGGTATGAATAAAATGGATTTACTTACAAATGCATATTTGCGAACTGTTCAGTTTCACTGAAATAGCGTGTTTGCTTTCCAGGTTGAGCGCACTTCATCTCAAAGACCTACTGTGGCGAACGGGTAGTTCCCAAATAATAGCCGTCGTATTGTAAGTGGACTACCCTCATTGTACACGAACGTGCGGTTCGCTTATCAATGCCGGTTGCTATGCGCCAATGGGAGTTTCAGGCTCCAAGTAAGATGGCATCACGGAGGGAATTATTCACCTACTAAGTGAACAATCTATGTCTGTCTTCCAATGTCCTGAAGTCAGCGTTTTTTAGGTGAACAGGGTCGGGATCAGCCCGGGGAAGGAATATAGTAGGTCCCTAGGAACAGAAAAATACGTGATATGCCAGGTCCGATAGACTCTCACCATCTGATAGAAAAATTAGACTCTTTCGAGTTGAAACTCCGCGGCCGTGGTCAGCCACATACGCGTCGCGCACGTGCAGTCAACGTGAGTGAAAGTAGCTGATCACTCCTCTCGTTCGCGTCACATTCCAAAACTCCAGATCACATAGCGGGTCGCCTAGTACCCAAGGTATCAAGTCGATCCCGCCCGGTTCCCGAACGTGCCGGAATTTTCTCGCGCTCTCTCCGACTCTGAGCCATCTAGAGTAATGAGTTTGTCAGATAGTAACTTGGTTTCCATTGGGAATAATTTAGCATAGTACAAGTATTACATGCACCGACCGAACACTACTAGGCGTGCTCAAGCCGAAGATCAACCACCCTCCTGTACCAACCTATTATTAGGAACGAAAGGAAGCATACATATTCTGAACGCGACAATGTCATGAAAGGTTAACATATTTTGGCGCTTCAGTCGTGTCTCGAATAGGAACGACTTGCATCCATTTCGTTATCTCTCTCATCTCCGCCCCGCGGCAAACGAGCATCACACATCGAATAGTGCCGCTGATAATACCTCTCTCTTTCCGTCTGTGTGCCATCATGCCAAGATCGCGGAGGGTAGCTTTGAACCTGGCCTCTGGCCTGGTCCTGTCCTTCTACTGCGAAGGACGTGGCGGATACAGAGGGGATATTAGGGTAAGGATTCGCAGCTGGAGAGTCGTAGCGAGAGGAAGAAGACTGAGTTGCGACAGGGTTTGTGTGGCTACGATAGTGCCTGAGCATGTTTGACTTGACGTTGAACTCTTTGCCACATCCGGGAAGTGAGCATCGGTACGCTTCGCGGGTAGCATTTAATACTGGATATAAATGGAAGGCTGATAAACTCACGCGTAGCACCGGTATGTGTGTTGATATGAATATTCAAGCTACTGGGCCGACGGAATCGCTTTTTGCAAACCGTGCAGATATGCTTCTTGCTTTCATCTTCGTCTGAGTCCGATGGCAAGAGGTGAGGAAGCGAGACTGGGGCTCCAGGGTGTGAACGGGTGTCCTGGGACGAGGGCTTGCGTAGTGGCTGGGGAGGTACATATGGGTGGGACGGAATGAGTGTCGGAGGCGCACTGCCCTTCACACGAATTTCGGGTGAGACGCGCAACATGTGGTCTGCAAAATAGACGCTATTAACTCGATGTGTTAAATTACAGGATGAACAATAGAGCTAGCCTGGGAACAGTTCGTGAATACCGGGGAGAGTGACATTTGCGTTATCAGCCATTGCAAGTGGGTATGGCGGTAAGGATGGGTATCGTCTGGTTATGTACTGGGTTGTTCCCTCCGAGAATCAGCAGTCATTGCAAGCACGGGACGATGAGCCGATGGAAGGCATGTTCTTACTTCCTGTGAGGGAGGGATCCTTCATCTGTCTGTTTTCATCAGTTCGAACACTGTGTGACCATCACAAACTCACCCTTTCGCAGTGTCGTATTCTCCATTGCACCTCCCACGGCTAAGCCACAATCACAGCTTCCAGAGTCTCCTGATTACCCTTCTCTGCCAGGGTAATATTTACGCGGCGGGTCTCCCGTGAGAAGAACCTTGCTGATCTCCTCGTTATGATTTGCTGATATGCTGGCTGATATTCCGTCATTTCGCTCTGCGTTGCGAAACTCTACCCACGTCCAAGTTCTTTCATAATAGATGGCCCATCACGTCTGACGACTTCGCTACGAAGAGGCTCTGTGTCCATTCTCACCCGGCCAAGCTTTTCTTCCACAATTCGAAGGGTTATCTGCGTTATCTGTCGGAGCTTCCGTAATGTAATGCCTCATTGTATGTATAAATTGGTAGGGAAGTTACGGCCAAGGAAACTTGAGAGAACGCCTGTAAAACGGCACACCGTGCCGATCCCTTGGTTATTTATAGGGGATTATCATGTCCTCCTGGGAGTCTATGCTGGAAATTGAATTGTACATTCCCAGAGACTAATCTCCCAGTCGACTCGCTAATTATACCTCCAAGGCCGGCGGGCTTGCCACTGGCCAGTGAAGCATCAGCAATTCACAGATTCAGGAGGTATCTGTTTCATCCTTAGCGGACATGAAGCTTGGAGTTGGGCACCTGCCGAATTCGCCGTTTCCGGGGGATCGTTAAACATCCCGAAAATTCATGAGGTTCTCACTGTGCAGCTACGTACCGTGTGCTCAGTTCCGCCATCTGCCAAAAGTCGTGACAGCAACAATGAAATTCATGTGAGATTGAAAAATGAACAATACACCAGAGCCTATAGAATTATATGAGTATCATCATTGAAGCCCAGTGCGTCGCTGGCCAGGGGAAAAACAATTTGATATGACAGAGCGGAACAGAGGGCAAATCAAGTTACGTACCCTGTTTTTCTTTTGATCCTGAACACTGATGATCTCTCCACATCGTAACCGATGGCTGTTGCGCTTACGGGATAAGCGAACTGAATGAACATTGCACCGTAAGCCGTAGGCCATTCCGTGGAAAATGATAGCTGCCATCTGGCTAGGCGCTCGTGTCTTCATCAACTGTGGAATAAGTCTACCACTACTTCAAGTTATTGTATTCAAATGTCATTGGACCGGTGTTGTTTGCGCTCTTTCGATTGTTTCCTAACCTTCCCCTTTCTTTATTTTTGCTTAGTCCTGTAGAGAGAAATCTATTACGGATACCAGCATCAAAGGCACGAATTCTGCGGTACACACGTTGTACGATGTCCCCGGGTTTTTCATTTCTGTTTCTCACTAACACTCCTGACCCTCTTTCTCAAGACACGTTATCCAGCTAGTTCAAATACAAGCACGACTTACACATTCACGGCCATGGGTCCAATGGCTTCACGATGACCCGGCATAAGCAAGATTCTTCAATCCGTATGTTGGTGTGACAGCGTTGACATGCAGATCAAATGTCGCAGCGAAGGACTCGGTTTGGTAAGTTCCTGAATGCACTCTAGGCGAAGAATTCTGGCAACATTCCCTTAGGCCATCATTCATTCGCCGACTTATTCATATCGAGACATCTCCATCCTAAAATATGTAGTGGCGTAAGCAGAAGAGAAGGACTATTTTTGAGTCCGCTGACGCATGCAGGGAAGGTTACTACACACGATTAAAGAATCTTAGGGTGGAAAGTCTAGCCTCTTCATGGAGATACCTAATAGGATATTTACTACGTTTGGGTACATTCAGGTACGCTCCAATATTTATTTGGCCCCGTCTTCCAGCATTAATATCCTAGCGAAACGGATCGCGACTCATTTTCCATGTCGCACTACTACAGATGTCAGTTGCTCCTCTGCAACAGCTCCCGCTATCCTCAAGAGGAGTCAAGATTATTATCACCACCTGTATTCCAGTAGAAGGACTGGATTACTCTCGTACTTGTCAATACCAGCTTGTGATGCGGCGGTACCATAACCGTGACAGTATACGGGTTTAAGGAGCAAAATCATTGGCGGGCCTATGACATTCTCGTAGCTGCAAAAAAGTTCCAGAAATCTGGCTCTGGTATTCAGGTGTTCTTATCGATGGTCACTTCAATCAAGCTCAATGATGGCCGTAGTAAGGATTGCCACCCATGCCGTTGGAATCGTCTTACGGGAGATACCAGACTCTATTTCGTGGGTTACACGGTTCGGAGTATTCGCCATTCTGAATACCGAACATCTCACCACCGATACACGCATCGGTAACCAAGGTATGGCCACCGTACTATATGTCTGGTGCCTCCGTACCATGTGCTGACTACGCGGCGGGATGAAGGGCCAAATTTCTTACCAGGATCAATTGAATACGTACCCTACCCAGGCTCGACTTCAGGTAGCTATGTTTTGACTTAGACGAAACGAGATGAAAGTGACGTACTCATTTCCACATTGTAGTCATATGCACAAAGATTGATTTATAGGTATACATGCGGAAGGTTCTTTTTCAAAGTATACATCGATGGATGTTTACTAGCCCGTCAGGTTCGAAGATGATATACCCGTCTAAATAGCATATGTCGTCCGGATGAACGAATGACACTTTCTTTCCGCGTACGTCATTTAATGATCGCAATTTAAAGATAACCCTCCGCGGAGGTACGCCTACATCTCATCAGAATAGGCAGCCCTATGAGGTCTCTTTCCCCTTGACTTCTAGTCGCTCCCCGAGACATTGTAAGATTGACTGCTCTGATACAAAAGTCCATGTTTAGACTAAACTTCCTCACAAGGACATATTTTGGAAGAGCTGCGATTTGTTTAGTCCATAAAGGAGGAGTAAGCCTGCTTCCGCCGCCGATATCTCATACAGATATTAATCCAGACGTAACAGATTTCATCCTTGGACCGTTCATGTCCTAGCTAACTAGGGAAAGAAGGATCATTAGACAGGTTCCGTCCGTATCAGGTACGTAGCTGCCATGATGGTGCATCTCGCACTCACGGTTCATCTCTTATCCCCACAAGACTAGCCTATACCTTATCTTCACGCAGGCAGAGTCCCAGTCTAGCAGCCCAAACGAAGCGCATGATTTACCTACTATTAGACCTCCCTGGCTGGTGTGGTAAAGTGCTCTTCGGGTGTGTCCTACCGCGAAGCATCTTATTCGCGAGTCTCTTCTGACGATTGACTTTTGCACATTTTGGTAATCTCCGAACCCGCTATGTTAAGTCTGACTACGGCGATCCTGTCAAATACTCTGGTTAGTACCCCCGAATTCTATCACACAGCCTTGTTATTCCCAGCCATGATTCGGGTGGAGTTCACACCATACATGGCATAGAATCAGTCGCTACGGTGGATGCAAAACTCTCCACCTGATGTTCGTTCTTCCATCACTGTCAGCATCACTGCCGTGATGCTATCATATCGCGAATGATGGCTTGTGTGGGAACTTTGGATGTGACTCTGACCATGCGTCTCTGTAAATATCTGTCAGGTTCATTTCCCCAGGCTCTAGCTCTAGCTTTCTGGTCGTTATGTCGGGAAGACTCTTCAAATGACAACTGTAGGGATTGTGCGTCCTGTTTCTATTGTCGCGAACCTATCTCAGAATATTATTCTAGGAAAGGTTCCACCTTGCGTTCCTACGAGTCTGCTTTCGCCTTCTAGATCATTAGCATCACGGAAACGATCGGCAAGCACTGGCACAGAGGTTGGTGGCGAGCACTTGATAGAGCGGACCTCGCAATCCTCTTCGTTTTCTGAGATCGTCCAAAGATTATATTTGAGTCAAGTAGGACTAACACTAATCACGGTTAGTGAGTGCTTCATCGTATACACTCATTCGCTTCCTGATTTATCTATAGATATGCTTCTACGATTTTTCCTGCTGTTTATGTATCTGCTCAATCGCTAAGGTCTTGCCCACTCGGCCTGCCAGGTCAAATTTATGGAATGAGAGAAATGCCGAAATGATTCCGACGACTATTGCAGATCCCTCTGAATTCCCTCGAACACATTGTGGTCAAAATGGTCCAAACATACATCGTACTTAATCATTGCTCTATTTTCCTGGTGATCTCATGTCTACTCAGCAGAGGCAGGTCGAAATTTGATGGGGTATTCGAGCCTTCCTGGTGGTCGTCCTCTTCAAGTTGAAGAAGTGCTGTCCATCCAGCCAACAGCCACTGGGAACCTTTGTTCAAAGCATCAATATTACTGAGCGGTAAGTGGATACGTCGCCTAACATACAGCCCAGCACTTCCTTTGTGACCTGAAGGCTATCTGCTCTCGATAGAATCCGTTACGAATCCAATGAGAGTGGGCCACCATCCAGTTATCAAGCACGATGCCGTGCTCTGATGCCGATGATATCGGGTCGATGCAAGTTCCTCCGAACCACGATGTTCCTCAAGCCGCGGCTAGTGAACTCGCTGCAAACGAAAGGTCAGACAGCCAATTAAGGACGACTTCTCCCATACTAACAGAATATTAGTACAAAGGACGCTGGCTTGTCCATTCGCTACGCGAAATTCCCGTGATTCTTATCTGTATTCACTAATTTTCTTACATCACTGTTTCTTCAGAGTGCCTCCTGAACGCTTTTGTAGTCAATGACCCTACGCGAATATTAATTAATCACGGACATTATCTGCTTACGCTGCAAGGTCAGGCGACCCGAAATCAAAAACACATTCGCCTGTGTCCGCGGTGAATTTCTCAGCGAGTCGAAGACGCCGTTATTATTCATTGTCGACAATCATCAAAGCCTGAACCGGTAACATACATTTGCTTCAGGTTTGACCTCATATCGCTCACTTGGATTCCAGAAGGCAGAAAACTCAGGAATAGATAAACATACGCCAACTGTACGCACTTAATATCATCCCAAAGAGCAACATGCCATTCATAAAGTCGACGCGGCGTCACCTCAAATCCCTCTTTCTTTCCACCGCCCTGCCCAGTGTCGTTGTAAGCACGCCTTCCTCGGGGGTGTTAATTTCTTCAGCTCTAACAGGTACCCTCAGGGGAGTGGCACAAGAAAAAGCCGTAGCGTCATCGGCAAACAGAGGAATAATGCGCAGCCGGACGGTGACTATTTTGGCTCTGATATACGTGGTTTATTTGCTAAACTGACTCGGACTACCAGGTACACGTCTAGCATGCAGAACGCCGAAGATCGTATGTTCCTCTTCTTGTTCCGTATACTGACCCTGAAGACCTCTTTGAATTCTAGATCCCGAATTCCCAAGGCACGAATACTACTAGGATGGTAGAATCGGTCCGGAACGGATGAGCCACCCTGAGTTACGTTAATTTTCTGCTTATGTGGAATTTCTATCGTCTGGTTAGCGGGACAGCGGAATCAGTACTTCAGGGTAAGTATCATTTTTCAATCAGCTCCCGGGACTGATTTGGTTTTACTTTTTCCCCCTACTGGCGCTCGAATAGCCTTGGTGCCACGGCTTCATACGTGGTTGTCGTTCGTTAATTCTTGACATGGTCGAAAGAAGAGTCGGTGAATGACACCCGGTAATGGCTCTGAGGTGGCCATACAAACGCGTTGAACTAATAATGCGGAGGCTCGCGCTCAAGAAGTTGATCGAGTGGGAAAGGACTTAGAGCTTTAGTCGATATACCAGGCCCATACGTTTGTTAATTCGATATCATCATGACCGCTTCCTTGATGCCGTTAACGACATCCTTCGTTTAACGTAAGGTCTTCTCTCTCATTGAGGGTCCTTGATAAATATTCCTTTGTACACGGAAGAGTACATCAGCTATGTATCAATGGCGTAATGCCCTGTATTCTACGGATCGAATCCACATCGCGGTGTTTACAGATGTTCCGTTCTTGCTTTTTGCACAATGTTAGAGTGCTTTTTTTGAATCATGAATACGTATGGTGAGCATCAAAAATTGAGAACGCATTTACTTTACAGGTGATCAGATTTCTTACGTATGTTTAATCACGCAGAATCAGAAGTGTGCAACTCTGTCTACGATCCGTTTGAGGATCCGTCGGTTCTTCAATGCTACGAGAAGACAAATATATATCGATGGGACGCTACTACTTACAATCGTCAGAGAACCTCTCTTCCTTCGTTAACACGAAAAACAAGGCAACGAAATGGAGAACCGTGATCATCACACCATAAGCATACGTACTTACTATTGGAGTTACTGTGGCTGTACGAGCCGTCGGAATCAACCGGCTCGGAACCCGTTACTTACCATATCCGTAGTTTTCCCTTCTTTACCGTTTACCTCCACGTCGATGTACATAGGCTAAACGAGTTGCTCTTATCGTCCCCCCGTGCTCGAATCTCAACACTTACCTCGGGACGGCTGTCAAACGGGGCAGATCCCCATTGACCTACAGCAGTTGTTAATCGTCGGGATGATCGTGTAAGCACGGGTAGCGAGGATTGATATCTCCATCGAAGGGGTTCCTTTACACGCGTCTAGAAAATATATGGAAGATATTGTCGAATACCACGTCATCACCTCGAAGGAGGGAAAGGACACGGGGAATTGTTGGTTGAAAGGAGAGAAGGATTGCCTTGAGTGCTGCGTTGCGGTTCTCTTGGTACCTTGGTACAATCATACTGTTGATATCACGAGTTATTAGAATAGAAAAGAAGAACAGAGAGTTTTCACTAACAGGTTAATTGAAACGCTGGCAACAGGACGGATTCCATGAAACAAGGGTCGGTTATCTCTTCTCATCCTCTAGGGTTCTAAGAGGGTATTCTCAACCGCCACCTCATGGAATCGAACTGTGATCGTCCCAATAGTGATCGCATAGAATGAGGACTGTTACAGCCGAAGGGGGACAGTTCTACCGGTCTATGTCTCTCTGGACACAGTCAGTCGATCGACGTAGCTGCGGCCACTGGAAAATGACATTGTTTTGGAAGTAAAGAAAACGAAAAGAGCCTCCTGTGAAAGCATTCGGCACGAAGGTCTACGAGGATTAAAAACGAAGGTACGAGAGCTCACCCAAAGTAAATTGCAGAGAGCGAATTCCGTAAGTTGAGAACTGGAACATTGTCTTTGGCGGAAACGCATCCTTCGCAGGAGCGAGCAGACTTTTTGTACAGTTAAGAATCATGGCGCTAGTGTAAGGAGGGAAAATACTCACCATACAGTGTCGTCATGTCTTTCGCTGAACACAGCTGTCATTAGGAGGGAGCTTCAAACGAAAGACTAGCGCTGGAGCTTCTGATCGAGGTTTTCGTGAGTAGTATGACCTCTGCCCCGCTTAGGGTGGTATTAGTATAAGATCTCAGCATAAAAGTGTTAGCCTACGTCAAGAAATGGCTGCACAGGAGCCTGGGCTGAGATCCTAGAGCACATCTTCCTTTTGATCAACCGCTCTGACATTGTTGGGATACGATGCGTTAGCCAGGACAGGTGCTTGGCGTCCAGCTGTTATACTCACGCGTCGAACAGTTGCTATCATGGGGCAAACATCAGTGGGCGCGCTGCAAGGAGTGAAGGATGATACTTTTTACGGCTTTGTATCCCGGGTGGCCTTTCCGTACTGTGTCTGCAATTGGAGGTTCGTTCCTTGGGTGCACGACGTCAAGTCCGACGAAAAGAGCATAGATGGGCGATGCACCATGATTAACCATTTGAGCTGGCTTTCGCGTGCCGGACAGAGAAGATGACGGCATGCCCGATAACATCGGCGACACCATGACAATGTCGGGAGAAATTTGAGGGATGTCCCATGAGAAGGTGAAGTGACGCTGAAGCTAACTTCAGCCTGAGCAAAATCTGTATCCAGTGGCAGACTATCCACTGTTGCCTATCTGCGAGGTCGGAACTACGTGGGCGGATTGGCAGATATCAAAGAGGCGACAACGGGGCGGCCGTCTAGACTCGATGAAGACGGAGAGACCAAGGCGGACGACAATCTTGTGTGTACCAGGTCTCCAGAAATCAGGGCCGTCAAGTTCTCTCCGTGAAATAATTGACATTGAATCACAAAGCTCAGTCGATGAAGACATGACAATTAACGTTGAACGTTGAGCGTCGTACACGTATATGAATCGATCGTCAGCCGATGCCACCGAAGTACATGGAGCTGATGCGAAACAGGGCCGAGAAACTGCGCTAGGCGTTGAACGTTGAACCTTTGAGTATGAGAAGAGCGAAGCTAGCCAAATTGCGATATCGGCAATCAAGAATTGGCCCTTAACGACCTCGGCGCCTCACGTAACTTGCCCAGTTCTCTGAACGACAGAGGAGGTATGATAGGACGCTCGCGGCTGGCAATTTGAGAATGCGCCGCAGGAGTAGGAGCAGTATCTGGTCAGATGTCAGCAACAAGAAACATGGAAAGATAGGCAGTCGCTCACCAGCAAATCTTGTCATATCTCTCTGTTCTGAATACCCAAAATCGGGATTGTTATTCCGTGCGGAAGAACACAACACACATTATGAAGGAGGGTGGGGAAATCGCGCTTATCCAATGCGTCCGTGAGCTTGTGCTTCCGTCGACCACGGCCACTAGACTAGACTCATTCTCGAGCAATATTGCGTGCGACTGTGGGGCGACCTCGTAATATAAGGCGGATAGGACGGACGAGAGGGTGACTAGCCTGGAATGGGACGGATTAAGCTCTGGAGGAGTTCGAAGATGCGTTAAACCTGACGCGACGGGTGACGCGTGGCGAGGCATGGGACGAAAAGAAGAGAGGTCGATCGATAAGACAATGCCGCCGGAGAATTTCTAAATAATCAACCTCAGCAACAGGTTAAGCTAGGTAGGCAACACCCTGAACTCACCAGAATAAACGAAGATTTATCCACGTTTCTATTCCTCGCAACACTCGTTGATACAAAACAAAACCGGGGTGATTGTTCCGTGCTCTCCAGGAGAAGGGACGTTAGCGACCACATCATATCGAGTTAGAAGTGGTCGTGCCGGCCGAGCAAGAAAATGTAGCACTGATACAGACCATACAAGAACGGAGTAGATGGAACTGACGGTGTTAAGGTCGAGTGAGCGAGAGAAGACAAAGCTCGAAAATTGAAATTGAAATTATAAATCGGCAATCAACGCGCCGGGATCGGCCGTAACTGGCACCTGCTCCCACATCACCAGGGCGTCGAACCAAAAGGAACGCAAGTATTGCTTAGCGACCATCGCCCGGACTTGAACCGGGGCCTTTTTGAGACTCAGCTTGCCTACCGTATCATTCCGATTTCAACAGGGCTCGGGAAGGCGAGAATAACCCTAGTTCATAGAATATCCTGGGAAGGACGGACCACCTAAACGAGGTGACATATGTATTTGTTTTCCAAATCGTGACACCTCGCTCTCCTCACCTTTCATCCGAGTTAGGCTCATATGCAAATTTATAGTAAGAATGCAGGCTTGAATAGGGATCCCAAAAAGTTGTGTCTATTCAGAACTAGGGGAATCGCCTGAAGACTGATTCGAACTGTCTCTCGGACTTTATCTTAATCCCTCATCCAAGCGGTAGACGCATCTTATTCTCATTAGGGAGCTCACGAGCGCTGACTAAATGCTATTCTTTATCCAGCCTGAGGCGTAGAATTGGATACCGTCTCCATAATCAAATACACAACTCGTACTTTGCTTCGTGCCCATTTTCATGGTTCAGAAATTGACTCGTTCGTATTCACGAATGAACGAATGAACAGAGAACTGCGTGAATCCTATGAGCCAAAGACAAAACTTTGGTATTATTCATAAACGCCTCCACTCATTGCCAGCAGACGGATTCGAACCATCCCATTTGTAGAATCTACTACTGAGTATTGACGGCAGGCAAACAATCATTCTGCAGCAGGTCTATCTACGTTGCTGTAGATTTGACCATCAGTGATGTGAGATTATACACATCTCAGTACGAAAGAAGGTGTCATTAGCGTATGAAGCTTGAGATCAGAAATTGGTGAAGCAATATGCACTGTCTGTTGAGGGTGCGACGCTAGTAGAGAGCACCTCGTTCCAGCTATAAAGTCCTCTGGAGTTGAATTCTGCTTTGATCATCCACCGACGCGTTAATGTCATGTAATTGTTATCGTATTAGGTAGATTAAATTGAACATAGGCACCAGGAATGCAATCGCCCATCGGAGATTCCCTCCCTACCTTCGCAATAATTTAACGCAGAGATATATCTCTCCTTCATCGACCCCAAAAGGCACCTATCTCTGCCTCCGAGTAGCCACTGCGCGCCCCGATCAACCAAGATTCAACTGTCTGTTACTTCGAATTAGGATGATCCACCATTGATCTACATTAGCCATTCAATTTTGAAAATGGGTGCATAAACCAGGATAGTTTGCTTACCA